AGTCATGTTACTGGAGTATATCTTGGTGTTAGACCCTATGCATTGACATTCTTAGGTAACAGGCAGGCTATAGTGGTGTGTGTCCTTAGAATATTTTTTTAATTAATAGTTTTTACTATTGTGTGGGTTTTTTTAATTACAGTTTTTACAATTTATTTTTCCTCTTCTTTTGGTTTTGTGTTTTAGGGACTCCTATCCATATGTTGTATCTCGCTTGCCTGTTTGGTCTTACGTTCCTGTCTAAACAGACTTTTTAAAATTTCTGATTAGCTCTTGAATTCTGTCAACGCATTCCTGAGTTTTTATAATTCTTATTTATGTTTCATGTCTTGTATGTTTTCTTATGCCTTTAAGTTTGTTTTGTAATGGTAACAGTTTTGTTCCTTTTTTCCTTTCTCTTTTTCTTCCTTTTTTTTTTTTTTTGGAGCACTTATTCTGGTATGCTTTCATTTTCTGTAGGTAAATTATTCTGCTACTCGTTATCTTTATAGTCATTCTATAAGGGATTTGATCTGGATACACTCTGCTATTTTTATGTGACATTAGTTTCTTTGAGTTTTGGGAAATTGACTTAGTTTCCTAGTGGGTGTCCGTGTGTTCATACCTTTGCTACAAAGCATATCTGCTGCTTTCTGACACATGCTCTCTCTGTGCCCTTTGTACACTTTTATCTAGACTTTCTCTTTCTTTTGTCCCTGTTGTTGGGTCCAGCTCAAGTGGGATGTCCTGCCAGCAGTGCCTCCTGCGCGGAGCCCTGTGCTGGGGGCCTGGCAGGGCTGCGGCCGGGGTTCCTGGGTGCCACATGGTGCTGGGGGATTCAGGCCAGACCGGAGGCTCCTGTTGTCACCTGCTGTTGGAGCGGGCACAGTCCCTCCAGTGTCAGCTGCTCTTCCCAAGCTGTCCTTCCTTTCTTCCCAGGGAAGACCCGTTGCTTTGGGGTTCTCAGGTCTGGGGTGCGTGAGACACCTTACGGCTTTCCTCAAGTCTGGTTGCTTGTCCCTGTGTGTTTGCATTTTCCACCTGGAGGGGACATGTTGTTTACCTAGTCTGGTGTCAATGTCCATGGGATTTTTGCTTTGTTGAGTAGTTGCCCTGCTTGTATTGGGAATTCAGGAAAGTTTCAAATGCATGCTACTACTGTGGCTGCAAATTTTTCTAGAGGTCTGTGTTTAATGCTTAAATTAATGCTAGTTAAAAAAAAATAATAACTCTATGAACAGCAGTTGAATTAAAATTAAATACTTGTGTTTCAGCTCACTAACGTTGATGAGCCAGCCTGCGTTAGGCCCCTGCATGTAGGGTTGTGCCTGCTGGAACCCGTGGAAGAACATGTGAATCCTTCCCCCGTGCAGCCTCGATCCCCAGGCTGCTGTAACAGCAGGGCTGTGTGTCAGGTGGCCGAAGTGCGTATGTGTGCCCTGGGAGCTTGCAGGAAAGCTCAGGCGGTTTTATGAATGAGATGACATAGAACCTGGGAATTTGAAGGCTGAGCTGAGGCACACAAGACTGATGAGGTGCTAATGGAATAAGTCCTAGGCTGAGAGGAAACACAAAAGCACAGCTTGATAGTGCATGGGCTGCTCAAGCAGGGGTCTGGACGTGAGATTGTTGAGAGCCCAGATGGGTGCTCGGAAGCAAGTTGGACTTCTGCTTCAGGATGTCGATCCTGAGCAATTTCGGACCTCTGGGCAGTGGGGTGACAGGGTTTCAGACGAGCCCTTCGCACATGGTGGAGGGTAAACTGCCGTGCGGTGGAGGTGAGCAGCCTCTGCAAAGGCCAGATAAAGCGTAAGACAGCAGGGGGCAGGGGGAGTGTGGAATAATAGTTGGGCCCTCTGAAGTTTCTGGTCCCAGCCCTGCTCTGCTTTTCACAAGACATTCAAGGCTGAGGTTCTCGGCCCTGGCTGCCTGTGACAATCACCAGTTTAGTGGGTAAGGGATAGGGGTTCAGACACCAGCAAACGTTTTTGAAACTGGTCCGCAGTGATTCTTCTCTGCAGCCAGGGCTGGGAACCAGACTTCCTGGGGAGTCATTAAGTGAACTGGCGCGAGCGCTGATCCAGCAGACCTCGTGCCCTGCTAAGTGCTGGGGCTGCACGGAAGCGGTGGTCCTGGCCTGATGTGCGTGCACGGTGTAGGCATGTAGAGAGGAGAAGATTGGCCCGGCTTCCTTTAAGAAGGAAAAAGAAAGCGAAAGAGCAACCTACTTCTCCACACCCCTGGGCATTTAGGATTTTCCCCCCCAGTATCTACATGACAAACACTGCAATAAATAATTGTGTGCCTATGGGCTTTCATATTGTTAGAGATGTGTATCTTCAGGGTATACCGTCAAAAGGCAAGTGCCTTTGTAGTTCTGGAAGACATTGCCCCGCGCCTCTGCCGAAGAGTGTGGGGCCTTACGTGCCCGTCCGCAGGGTGCCCGTGTCCCTGCGGCTCCCCAGCAGGAGGTGCTGCCAGACTCTCGTCACCAGTCTCTGTGCCGTTTTCATTGGAATTGCTCTCATTGTGAGTGTCAACATCTGGTATAGCTTTGGTGAATTGTTTCATTGTCTTTTGCTTATTTTTATTGAGGTAACATTGTTTTATAACATTATGTAAGTTTCAGGTGTATAACACTATTAATTCGACATTTGTATACACTACAGTGTGCTCACCACCCAAGGTCTAGTTTCCGCCCGGCACCGTACAGTTGACGCCCTTTGCCCACTGTGTCCTACCTCCACCCCCACCCCCGCGCGTAACTAGCAGTCTGCTGTCTGCATCTGTGAGTTTGTGTTTGTTTTACTATTCCGTGTATGAGTGGAATCATACTGTATTTGTCTTTCTCCATCAGACTTATTTCACTTACATGCTACCCTCAAGGTCTGTCGGTATTGTTACAAATGGCAAGATTTTGTCTTTTTTATGGCTGAGTGTAACATCCATTGTGTGTAAGACTTAATCTTTATCCAGTTGTCCCTCGGTGGACACTTGAGTTGTTTTCATGTCGTGACCATTGTGAATAGAGCTGCTGCTATGAATATGTGGGTGCATATATTTTTTTAAATTAGTGTTTTTAAATTCTTTGGATATTCAGAAGTGGAATTGCTGGATCATATGCTAGTTTTATTCTTAATCTTTTGAGGAATCTCCATATTGTTTTCCATAGGGGCTCAACCAGTTTACAATCCCACCAACAAAGCACAAGAGTTCCCTTTTCTCCACATCCTTCCGAGTACTTGTTGTTTCTTGTCTTTTTGATAAGAGCCATTTTAATAGGTGTGAAGTGAAAACTCATTGTAGTTTCGATTTGTGTTTCCCTAATAATTAATAAAGTTGAACATCTTTTGTTGTGCCTGTTGGCCATTTGTATGTCTTCTTAGGAAAATTGTTTATTCAGATCCTCTGCCATTTTTTTAATCAGATTGTTTTCTGTTGTGGACTTGTATTTAAAAGAATATATTTTGGATATTAACTCCTTATCATATATATTATTTGCAAATATCTTTCTCCATTCAGTAGGTTATCTGAATTTTCATTTTATTGATTGCTTTCTTTGCCGTGCATAATCTGTTTAGTTGGATATAGTCCCATTTGCTTATTTTGTTTCTGTTTCTCTTGCTGTAAAAACATTGCTAAGTCCAGTATCAAAGGCCTCAGCACCCGTGCTTCTTTCTGTGTCTTTTATGGTTGCAGGTCATACATTCCAGCCTTTAATCTATTTTGAGTTAATTTTTGTGTGTCGTGTAAGACCATGGTCTAGTTTCGTTCTGCTTGCTGTGTCTGTAGATTTGTCTTTTCTGAGCATTTCATATGAATTGAATTAACACTATATATGGGTTTTTATGACTAGCTTCTTTCACTTAGCATGTTTCAAGGTTCATGTATTTCAGCATGTATTAGTACTTCATTTTTTATTGCAAATAATATTCCATTGTCATAATATATCACATTTTATCCATTCATTGGTTGAACATTTGGCTTATTTCTACTTTTTGGCTATTATAAATGCTCCTGCTATGAACATGTGGGTGTGTGTAGATACATGCTTTCATTTTTCTTGGGCACCCAGGAGTGAAATTGCTGGTGTTTATTCTTTTTTAAAAAGAGTTTCTCCTTTTGTCCCTTCGGTAGGCCTCGGGGTGGAAGTGAAGGTTACGACGCACGCCCAGTACACAGTGGGCATCTCCTCTGCTGTGGGCTGGATGGCCTTTGACCTCAGGTGGTTTGGCGTGTAGCGTGCACTGTGGAAAGTCTTACCTGGTTTAGTGCTTCCAGGAAAATTGATGTGGCTTTAGACTGCTCTGAGTGCTTCATTCCTCTGCAGGGCATGGTGTGGGTTTCCTGGAGATTAGGTGATTTTTTTAAATAACTTGGAAGTATTTTGAAATTTTTTCAGTTGCAGGGCTGTCCTTAGTCATTGTGGTAAAGATTTTCAATTCATTGAGAGGTATAAAGTTTATTATCATTTTTTAATTAAAATATGCCTTTAAAAATGTTTGATATGATTAATATATTCATCCTCTTGTCCACAATGTGCATACAGCATTATAGTGTACAATCTAAAGAGATGGTAGCATACTGGAAGGAAGTTGGAATAACCCTTGATTTCCACAGCTTTGGTGCTTCATCATATAAAGCGGCAGCAGTGCATGTGCTGGTGAAGCCCGTCGCCGTGTGAGCGAGCGGCCAGGGTTTGTGCTGGTCACGTCGGAGCACTGTCCGTCCCCTCTGGAACCCTTCTGATAACCGGAGCTGCAGCTCAGCATTGGAGCATTCAGAATGTATTAAAATGTATTTTAATTGTTAAAGAACATTCATGTATTGGCAACTGTTACTATTATCTTGTGCCATTTGCTTTGTTAGGGCGTGTGTTGTGTAGTCCTACAGGAAAGTGCATGGATCACAGGTGTAATAAGGTTGTAATGTTTACATTTTAATGTTTTTAGTTTGTAGAACGTGACATAATGAACAGTTATTTTCTTTATAGTAACACTTTACTGTAATTATTGCTCTAGGCTCCTGGATTCGGGTTTGGAATTGCAATATCTGGTGGAAGAGATAACCCCCATTTCCAGAGTGGGGAAACCTCAATCGTCATATCGGACGTGCTGAAGGGGGGCCCCGCGGAGGGACAGCTACAGTAAGTGGGTGTCCTCTCGGGGCGGCCGTGCGACAGGCCCTGGGCCGCCCGGGTCACCGGCTCGCTGTTCACATGAAGTGACTACCCAGGAAGGTCTTTACATGAATACACATTTGTTCTTATCTTGACCTTAAACCGAAGGTCCCTGTAAAAATAAAGATAGTGAAAAGGAAACTTTTACTCAGTTTTGGTAGAATCTGGCCTTTAGGAACCTCTCATCCTGAGTTTTGCCCTTGTTCTTCAGTAAGATTATCAAATAAAAAGAGGCAAGGATACATTATTAGCAAAAGAGTAAGAGTATAATCAGAAGGATTAAAAGAAAATTGGAAAGAGTTTTTTTTTTTTAATGGGAAAAACATTTTCAGCTGTATGACATAGTATCATTTATGCCCTGTACTTGTACCACCAAAATTACTTTGTGTATTGTTTGGCCCTTTGGGGAAACATTAATGATTTTTAAAAATGAATGATCTGTGGTTAGTAATTTAAAAAAAATGAGTGATCTTTGGTTAGTTACTTGCTAAACATGCTTGTGGGCAATCTGAGAGTAAACAGACATTTTATCATGGCAGACAAATAGATTAATTCGCCCACAATTAGAATATTTTTTTACAAGTACTCATCTTGAAAATATCTTCACAAATTTATCTGTATGTTTTTCTCTAACATGTTATTCTTGTGACTTTTTCCCTTAGGGAAAATGACCGTGTTGCAATGGTTAATGGAGTTTCAATGGATAATGTTGAACATGCTTTTGCTGTTCAGCAACTAAGGAAGAGTGGGAAGAATGCAAAAATCGTAAGTCTCTTCTGCCTTTAATCTAGTAAAGGAACCAGCTTTACTGTTGATAATGTTTCTAGTGTTTCAACGTATCCTTCCTCTTTAAGAAAATGAAATCTGGACCAGTAGTTCTGAAGTGAGCTGTCTTTATAAGGAGTTTTTTCCCCTAATTCTGGTGATGTGTTTTGTCACTAGTGTGTTTATTTTCTCAAAGTTCAGGTACCAGGGTTTTCAACTAAAAAGAGAAGGACGGGTGAATGGTTACTTGCTTCTTTATGGCTTAAAGTTTCCTTCTTTTTAGGTACTTATGTTGGATTGAATCCAGGCATGTAATCTGTTTAAAATGTAAAGGGTGGGGAGAAAGTAGGTTTACAGTTCATATGCAAAATAATACAATGATTAATAAATAATAATACAAGAATAAAATTTGTGTTGCATACTTCCAGTTGGAAACCCACTTTTGTCCCACGCTGGAGAGCTCTGCTTTGTTAGTTTGTCAGGTGGGCAAATTTTACATTGTCCCTTGAAGACATACATCATCAGCTGTTTTCCTAGTTACTGTGCGGTAGTTTGAGGAGAAAGTGGTAAGATTTTCTCTGTAGAGTTGTTCAGGGTGCATTTGATGTTATTGTTTTAGTATATAGGTAGAATCTTCTATCTGATGTCTGAGAATGTTTTTTTAAGTAAAGGAAAAGAAGTTCAGTGAACTCTTGACATTGTCCTCTAAACAGTTAAACTAGGCAAACGTGGCACAGGATGGACGTAACGTAAAAGCCCTATTTAAAGTGCCTTCCACACTAAACAGCTTGTTAACCGCTTCGCCCACTTTGCTCGCCCCCGTTTCTGCCCCGTGGCGCCTCTGACGGGACTGAGTGACGCACTGTCGCGGCCTGCGCTCGCGTGCACAGAGAGCAGGAGGAGGAGGAGGAGGAGGAGGCTGGCGGCTAGCTGCTGGTCCTGCCTTGTCCGCTGGTGGCCTTCCAACTTCCCAGCGGACACTCAGAACCCAGCAGGAAGGAGAGGCTGGAGTGAGGGACCTGCATTGTGCTCTGCCCTCTGGGCGCTGTCGGGCAGCGGTGTCCCTGAGGCTGCGCCCCCAGTTGCTTGGCCCCCTCGCCCGTGCAGGGTGCAGCCCAGTGTCGTTGCTGCCTTCTCCTGTCGCCTTGGAGCCGGTGTTCAGTCACCGCGCTCCAAGTGACAGACATCCTCTGTTGGTGCATTTTCACAGCCTCAAGCAGTCACATTCTTACAGCTGTCGGAAACGGCAGTTCCCGTGCAGACTGGCTAGTGGGTGGAGGAGGTTTTAAACAGTTTTTGTAACATGAGCTTAGCTTTTACAGAAACAAATTGCTAATTTTTATACACCAAATAAGCTTTAGCTGTCTTGCCTTAGCTACTGATCCTGAGCATTATCATTGTTACTCATAGTGTTTTCAGACGGTGGCCACACATTCCAAGGTGAGCGCTGTAGGTAAATGGGTTTTCTTCCTGTGTGGGAGCTTCGTCCATGCCCTCATTGTCCTGTTTAGCGGGTGTGGCAGTTATGCTTGATGTGAACGCTTAAAATTTTGAAACAAATTTTAGGGGAAAAAATGCCTACTTCAAAACAGTCTATCTGAATTGAAGACTCAGTGTAAAATAAAACAATGAAACTGTGCAATTACTACAATAAAATACAGAAAAATACGATGGGGCAGCGGATGGCAATTCCAACAAGGGATTTTGCATAGAGTTTTGAACAGTGGAAGAGATGCTGGGAGAACTGTGTGAGGTCTCAAGGTGCCTGCTTTGAAGGGGATTCAGGCATCATTGTTCTGTGTACGGCATTTCTTGTATCTTCTTCAATAAACATCTGTTTTTCATACTACATGGCTGAATACTTTTTGAACAGACAAAAAGGCTAACAATACATACAGTACTCTAGTATGACGATTTTCACGATATACATGCAAAGGACACGGATAAATAAAAAAAGAAACGTAAATGGGCAATCTATACACTATGAGATGATCACATTCACTTGCAATTTCAAAAATACCTCATTTGCGATATTATGTTTAGTCTATGAGTTCGGCAAAGATGAAAAAGCGTTGATGAAATTAGACTCTGAACGCCCTGCTGGTTGTCTGAAGGGTAAATGGGCAGTCCCTGCATCAAAAGCCAGTCACACCCTCTGCCTCCACGGAGCCGCGCACAGAAGTCGCTCTGAAGACTGGGCCCTGAAACACCCATCGGTGGCTGCCTAGGGCCGCGCGGGCGCTCCCTGCCGCCTTCACAGCGCTGCGTCCCTTCTGGGGAGGTGTCGGGCCCAGGGATGCTGCTTAGTACGTTCAGAATTTTAGTAAAAATTACACATGCATACTGTGCTATAAGCAATATCTATTTCTGCCTTCACCTATCTGTAAAATAGAATAAAGCACATTTATGGTAGTTATATTAGCAAAGAGGTACTAACATTTTAATTCAATGGAAAAGAGATCATTTACTAAGCCTAATGCCTAAAGGGCTCTTAGCTTATGAAAACGTAATTATATGAACAACCCAACCACCACGGCAATGTAAGAGCACGGGGAAGAAAAAAAGATGAGTAGACCAGGGAGGGGAAAGAGAAGCCAGTTATTCAGAACTGCAAAAAACGGAACTCATCTGTAATGACCTTGAGGTTCTGGTGATGGCCAGGGGTAGCTGAGAAAGACCTCTTACAATGAAAGGCCACATTCTGAGACCCTGGGGTCTTACTCTAAACATCACATGGCAGTGAAAACCTAACATAAATTAATGACATGATCAAGTCTTTCCAAACGTAGAAATGCATGACTGCTCTCTGCTAATTAAAACACCCACCCCCTCCCTATGGCCCCCCAGAGCAAAGCATACTTGGCCAGCCTTCTTGGATTCTGCTTTTCCGACTGATGTAGAGGAAAATCTGTCCTTGAGCTGCCCCAAATCCTTCTTACATGTACTCTACCAAATGCGTTACAGGCTTTAGACCTCCCTCCTACCTAATCGTTTCTGTGGCGGAGGCTGGAGTGTAGGGGTAAAGTTTCCTTGGATGCATTATCCGTGTGGGGTATGTTTACTGAATATGTTGCGGGGAAACAAAACCGTGCAGCATTTCAGAGGGACGGAGGATTCTGTCAGGTACAGTGAATTTACAGAGGACGCAATCAGCAAAGTGTGGAGACGCTGCCGTCTGAGGGGGAGGGTAATTCGGGGCTGGAGTGGGTCATGGCAGGTGACGGAGGGTAGGAGGAAGCCATTGAAGCATCACACGTGATGTCTCGTGCCAGCATGGGAGGAGGGGAAGCCGGGAGGGCGGGATTGACGGACTGAAGAATAGGAGGGGACGGAGGGGTGGGGACACGATTCGGGAGAGGAAGGTGTCAGAAGTCAAAGACAAGGCGTGGTACCCAAGGTTTTACGGACTCCTGAAGGAATCAGGAGTGGCCCAGTGTGAGCAGGCCAAGGGCAGACGGCGGCTGAGAGGTGACCTAATCAGGACGTAGTGTGTATAGACCTTGCACTACAGGAAGGGAAGGAAATAAGTGGACAGGGAAAATTGAACCAGTCACCAGAGTCATTGAGGAAAGAAAACCTGAGGAAGTAATTTACACATAAACTTGAAATTACAAATTGGAGAGATACAGGGACTGAAAGCAGTTTCTGTTGGTGAAGCGTGATGGAGTATTAGCTCCAACACTAAGCCGAATGTTAGTACAGAGGTAGAAGTAAAAGGATCTCTTTGAGGTCCAGCAGGAGGACCATTGTTGGCCTTGATACTGAGGGATTCTCAAGTTTTTAAGGAATCAGGCTGGGCTTGCAAGTTTGCTATGGTTTGGAAGCAACTATGGAAAATTTTGGTACTGGAGTATAGTGCTCCATTTTTATTCAAACCACCCATAATTATTAGTTCTTTAAGCTTGTTGTTATTACACCTAGAAGAGCTTTCTGAAGTAGTGAAAGTAAGGACTTCATTTGGCCCACGATTCCAAATTTGGTTTAGACAACTCTGTTTATCAGGAGAGCAGAAAATGCAGCCATTGTGGAAATGTATTCCTTAGTAACTTGTTAGAGTTGTGCACTGTATTTCTGATTTATAATTGGTTTAATTAATATGGCACCAGAAATATGTAATTTTCTTTTCTGTTAGGAACTGAAGCCTCCCATGACATGAAAACCAATCAGCTTCTTTTATAATCTTTTTTTTTTAACCTGTAGACCATTCGAAGGAAGAAGAAAGTCCAGATCCCTGTCAGTCGCCCTGACCCTGAGCCAGCATCCGAGAATGAAGAAGACAGTTACGATGAGGAAGCGCACGACCCGCGCAGTGGCCGTGGGGGGCTGGGCAACCGAAGGAGCGAGAAGAGCTGGGCGAGGGACAGGAGTGCAAGTAGAGAGAGGAGCCTGTCTCCGCGGTCCGACAGGCGATCCGTGGCCTCCAGTCAGCCCGCCAGGCCCACCAAGGTCACGCTGGTGAAGTCCCGGAAGAATGAAGGTAACCCTCTCCCCGCTTGCCGCTCGTTTTCCCGTGCACAGCTCCACACTGACTGTAATGAACGAGAAGGAAGCGCGCCATCTCTTCATGCGTTTGCTTTTGTTGCCTTTTGCCGTCTTCGTTCTTGTGTCCTGTTGCTGTAAGGCAGCTACTGTTACCGCAAGCTTCTGAAATCACCTGTTTCCTCCTCTGGAATCATTTCGTTGTAGCAGACGCTACTCCAGATAAATGGTCTGTAATTGGATTTGGGGTTTCTTGTGAATAGAACAGCCACATACAAACCAGGCTCACAAGAAATGTCACACTGCGAACAAGTTGAAATGCAGCGTTTCACTTAGCCCTTAGGGACAGTGGCGGCATAACCGTGGGGCAAAATCTCGTATATTGGGGGTGAGGGGGCAGAGTTTTTAAATGGAGAGATTAGTGGGAAGGAGCCGTTTATAGGGCATTTCTCTGTAATGCAGGCCTTAAAGAAATTGGAAGTGAAGGCCAGCTGCCTCCCCCAATCACGATTGATAGAAATGACTGAATCGTGGCATCTTCCTGCTGTGGGCACGTCTCACCGTTGCAGGAAAGCATTTACGACCGATCGTTTTGATGGCAAGGATCCCGTGAAGGCCCACTTGGTCTTTGCCAAACCCTGGCACGTCTCTCCCCCTCTCTCGCTCCCCGGCGCCCTCCGCAGCGGGCTTCGCAGGCGCTCTCTGCATCTCGCCCCGCACTCTGTGCCCCTCTCTCGGGCTGTTCCACCCTGTTCCCGAAATGGTTCGCACTAAGCCTGTGGAAATGCTCGGTCTTTGTCTCACTTGCCTTTTCGGTCACCTTGTACGTTAACTACTCTGTTTTTTGAAATAGTGTCTCCTCTTGGCTTCTGTGATACTGTGTCCTTTTGGGGTCCCCCCGCCCTTTTTTTTGTATCCTTGGCAAGCTCATTCGCCTTATCCCACCTTTTAATGTCTTCAGATTTGTTCTAGAATCTTTCCCACCTCCCCAGGCAGTCTCACCTGGGCGGTCTCTGTCTGAGTCAGCTGCTGAGCTCCGAGACACAGGGCTGGGCCCGGAGGCTGTGTGCACTCTGGCGTCCCAGCGGGCGGTGGCCACGCCCTCCAGGCCTGCGCAGCTCCCTCAGGCTCAGAGTGGTTCAGACGAAACTCACTCCTGTCTCCCTCTTGCAGTGTTTCTTTGTCTTTCTTAGGAAGCATTCCACTAAACACGTTCCTAGCTACCCAGTGTCGCCAGCCCCTCCTAGGTGATGAGTTGGTTGTTCTTGACATTTTTTCCCTCTCTGTCCTTTGCCCAGTTAGCTCATCCCAGCTTCCTAAATACCACCCTTGACTGCCCTGCTTGTGCTTTCCTCTACCGCCACCACCCTCATCCAAGCTTCTGTCCTCTCTTTTCTTCCAGCTTTATTGAGGCATAATTGACGTTGTATATAAATTATAAAACAGTATATGTGAAGGTATACAGCATGATGGTTTGGTGTACATATACTTAGGAAATGATCGCCACAATCAAGTTAATGAACATATCTATCATCTCACAGAGTTGTTACACGCATGCGTGTGTGATAAGCACCATCATCTCTTTGGTGGACTCATTCCACCTCATAAACTAGTCTCCAGATCCCTTTTAGTGGATTCTGCAGACTTGCTCACAGAGGCCATTTTCTGCAATGCTCCTCCCTCTTTCATATCCCGGCTCCCCGCCCCCCGCCCCCGTCCCTGCTGCCCTGCCCCGTGGCTTCAGCGCACCTGCCAAGGCTTTCCTCCATGTCTTCTGGCCCATTTGTTTTTAGCATCCGTGTTTACTACCCCCCACCACACACACACCCCCCACAGCACATGTACCTCGTCCTGCAGGTTTGGTTTGAACATCTCCTCTGAGTATTTCCCAGGCGCAGTTTCAGCTTGAGGACAGCAGTCCCCTCTGCCGGGGCGGGGGTGGGGGGAACGATGTCCCTGAGCCCTATTAGACACAGGACGCCGCACTGCCCCTCCGACCTCTTCCTCACACTGCTGATCCCCACGCTAACATCTTCCCCCTGCTGACTGCACGTCGCCGGAGCACAGCTGTTGACTCTCGCTTGCTGCCTTGTACCCACAGTTCCATGTTGACCCACGGAAACACTTGGCATGGGTGGGTAGATTAATATGTGAGGGCTATTTTGGAGTCATCTCTGTGTTGATCATTTATAACTTGTAAAGCTTGACTGTGGACAGCCTTTGCCGTTCTCCTCTGGTATGAGAGCTGTTCGACAGCGCGCGGTTGACTGCGGGATCCTCCGGAGAGTCCTTTTCTGGTTTTCACCCTGAATCTGTCCCTGCCTGTGAGCACTCCGTGTGTGTTTGCCGATAGTTAAACTGTAACTGGTGGAACTTGCACGAGTTTGAGTACCAGGTCTATGACCTTATCTCATACTAAATGATTTTCTATTTCTCCTCTTGGTTTTTGATTTTAGGGTTTTTTGTTTTGTTTTAAATGCAGTAAGACTCAAGAGTCCTCCTCCCCTCCTGACAGCCTAGAAGCAGCCCTTTTCCTATCGACATTATGTTGTAGTCATTGTTTTGGACAGTTTTCTGGACTCTTCTGGTAGTTTCCTCTACTCTGACCAACTCCCTCACCCATGGGTACAGTTTACTCTGGCCTCATTCTTGGCTACGTGGTTGGGTGTCAGGAGGAAAGGGGTGGCATTTTTAACTCCCGCCCAAACGCCCCTGGCTAGGTGTTGCCTAGTTTGCTCTGCTACCCGTAGTATGTGCTGACCAATGCTTTGCATACCTCTTTCCAGTGTTGCGGGTGTGTGGGGTCAGAAAGAAAGGCTTTTGCTGTAGAAACTGGGTGAACAAGAACAGTATATGCTTGGTAACACTAGTCATCGCTAAAATCGTCCGCCTTTGCAGGGTCGCCCAGACCTCAGCCAGCTTGCTGTTTGGACGTAGAGTCATTAAAGCTTCTGAGAAGCTGGTGTGTCAGCACAGCGTGGAGGGACAGAAACGGCCTTCTCCTCGGGACCTGCCCTCTGTCAGGAGAGTGGGGCGCAGCGTGTCTGTCCTGTGTGGGAACCACATAGTTGGCCCTCAGCCCTTCCAGGGCCCCCGCAGGCTTGCTGGTGATGAAACGCCTTCTTTGCAGGGTGGCCCAGAGTGACCTCTCGTTATTGGTTGTACTTAAAAACTCTAGGTGGTGATTATTCGTCTTATAACTCTATTGAAGTGATTAGGATTTTACACTAAGGACATTTAAATATATCATTTCAGAATATGGTCTTCGATTGGCCAGCCATATATTTGTAAAGGAAATTTCACAAGATAGTTTGGCAGCAAGAGATGGCAATATTCAAGAAGGCGACGTCGTACTGAAGGTACACTCTTACTCTTGCATTTTAATGAGCTGAAACAGAAAACGAGTTTTAATGGGACTGCATAGCTTCTGCTCACATTTGAAGAAGTTTTCCCAGAAGAATTAAACATCGGTGTCGGGGGCCGGGCAGTTTGCCACGGTCCACTTTTCCCTGTCGGCACTCATGCCCTCCTTTCCGGCGTGGAGCCGCCTGAGAGAACGAGTCGCTGTCGGTTCAAATCCCTCACTAGTAGGAGCTGCTTTATGGCGGTGTTTCTTCTCGTACAGGCCGTGGTTTTGACAGCTGCTCTAGACATCACTGAAATGTTCATTTTGTGACTGTACTTTTCAGTAGCAGAAAGTGACAGGCTTTGGGGGAGGGGCGAAGGGATCCTAGTTTGGGTTCCCTGACAGAGTGAGTGGGGTAAAAATGTGATTATTTCAGGGAGGAGGGGGACGTCGCTAATACAGAAAAGTGTGAAGAGGATGTTGTGAGTCGTGCAGCAAGCCAGGAAGGGGCCTAGCTGTTCCTGTTCAGAGCGGACTGAAGCTAACATTTGCAATTGTGTCATATACTGTCAACCTGCTGTGTCTCTTCCGTTGCAGATAAATGGTACTGTGACGGAGAACATGTCACTGACAGATGCAAAGACGTTGATAGAAAGGTCTAAAGGCAAGTTAAAAATGGTCGTTCAGAGAGATGAACGGGCTACGCTGCTGAACGTCCCTGATCTGACCGACAGCATCCACTCTGCCAACGCCTCGGAGAGAGACGGTGAGTGCGTCCCAGCGCGTCTGGGGCCGAGGGGCCCTGGGAGGGGCGCTGCCCTGAATTGCCGGAAGGTTGGGCGTGTCGGAGTGAACTGACTTTCTACAGGCAGGCTGCCTTCAGGGTTTCACAGTTGCAAATACCCATACGGTTGGTTTTATTTTTCCCAGTTTTATTGAGAAACAGTGAACATACATCACTGTATAGGTTTAAGGTATACGGCATGATGAGTTGATGTGCATATATTGTGAAATGATTACCACAGTACATTTAGATAGCATCCATCGTCTTTTAGATACAATAAAAAGAAAAGAAAAGAAGACTTCTCCTTGTAAAGGGAACTCTTAGGAGCCACTCTCTTAAAAACTTCCCTGTATGTCATGCGGCAGGGTTAGCTGCAGTCCTTGTGTTACACAGGGCCATGCCTATGAGTTAGCCTGTCTCATAACTACAGGCTTGTACCTTTTGATCACCCTCCTCCAGTTCTCCCTCCTCCCACCCCCAGCTCTGGTAACTGCAAATCTGATCTCTTTTTCTCTGAGTTTGGTGAGGTTTGTTTTTAAGAGTCTGCATATAAGTGAGGTCAGACAGCGTTTGTCTTTCTCTGACTGTTTCACTTAACCTGATGCCTTCACGGTTCACCCGTGTTGTCACAACGTGTTTGTTTTCCTGTGGACAGCACACCACTGTTGATCAGTGGCTGATGAAGCTACTGCTTAAATCAATCATTTTTCATGAAATTATAGTTAGTAGCTTATCTCCATTATCATTGGAGTACCTTATAGAATATTTTATTACACTCATCTCACGGGAAAATAAATGGCACCCTTTTGTTTTGTTTAACAGATATTTCAGAAATTCAGTCACTGGCGTCAGATCATTCTGGTCGATCGCATGACAGGCCTCCTCGCCACAGCCGGTCCCGATCTCCTGACCAGCGGTCGGAGCCGTCAGACCATTCCAGGCATTCTCCGCAGCAGCCCAGCAACGGCAGGTAGCCTCGCTCGCTCTCCCTGCAGCATGGAGTAGCCGCGCGGGCTTGACACGCGTTTCTGGTCTTGCTTACAAATAAAACTAGGAGAGTAGGTTTTCTTTTGATCTTTCAAGATTACATCTGTTTTTCTTTATCGGTTTAGGTATTTCTTATCTAGGAAAAGAGGTCAGACTTTTCCTGAAAGGGCTAAATAGTAAATATTTGAGGCATGTGAACCATCCACTATCTTGTCACTCCTCTGCTCTGTCTTTGTAGCACAGAAGTAACCGTAGACAATATGGAAATGAGTAGGCATGGCTGGGTTCCAATAAAACTTTACTTTTAACAACAGTTGGCCCACAGCTGCAGTTGGCCGACCCTCTGCCTTGAAAGATGCTAGCAAGCTTACATGCTTTACTGCTCGAGAAAGTTAACTATAGTAGGAGGCCTTTACTAGACAGATTAGTCTGGATTTTGTTTTCCCCTTTTAAAAACACGCCAGTATTTATGACGAAGGGTTTGCTATGCTAGTAGTATGTGACTTGCCTGAGTTTATGTTGTCTTTGGGGCCACCTTCACATTTTAGCACCTAAAGAAAATAACAGCCCTTATCTCTAGGAAAATGCTACATGCATGTAGCATTTTACATACAATTTCTGGACAGTCCCAGGGCTTTGCAGGCCACCGCTGACCTAGGCTTTGGCATCAGTCCACATGACGATCTCCTGGAGACGCTCGGAAATTCGAGGCCAGAGCTGAACAGTGAAGGATTAGAGTTGGTGGTTGGGCACTTGCCTGCATAGAGGTGATAGGCCAGGCCACAGACGGCACGCACAGAGCGCGGAGGCGGCCGAGGCCCGGACCGCGGGGCGGGCGAGGTGGCGTGGGAGAAGGGCAGGGAGGAGGCAGAGGTGCCTGGTTTATCTTTAAGACTGTCGGACGCCAGAGTGACCCTCTCTCTGCTGCTGTTGTTAGGTGTGTGTGAAGCTGATTTCCTCTAAATTTCAGATTTTAGATGTATAAATCATACTAACCCTGATTTTTATTTTCAGATCGTAATGATTTTCTTTAAAAGTGCAGTGTATTGCATGCAAAACTGGCTTCTCTTAGCAGTGATGATTGTGAACTGCTGCAGGGTGCTCTCTTCGTTCCAGAGCTCCTGCTCACACAGCAGAGGTGCTTCTGGGGGGGGCTGCTGCGCAGGCCCAGACCCGCGAGGTGACCGGGCCGCTGGCAGCGCAGGTGCCGGCCCCAGCCTTATGTTCCTCTCCCCATGAGCCGTGCTGGTTCCAAGCAATTGGGACAGGAGTTTCCTTTTTTTTAAAAAAAGAAAGAGATACTCATCAAAAATTTGACCTTTTATTTTTATTGTAAGCAAATTCTAAATCTTAGAAAGTTCTTTTTGATCTCGACATTGTTTTTTCATTTAGATTTCCTGAACACTTGGCATCTGTAACTTCAACTTAAAAGTTGAAATTTTTAGGAATAATTAACTTTTGTCATACTACATTAGGATGTTTTACTTCTCTTGGGAACCTCACATAGTCTCATGGGTAACAATAGTTATATGCAGTTCTTTCATAAAAATACAGAATCCTGCGCCCTGTTCTCAGTTCATCTGAGATACAGGCAAGGAATACTTCCCTATTTTTTTAAGTTTGTATTATCATTCCCTTCTGTGCGCTTCCAGATTGAGGACTTTCTGGTGAGAACATGCAACATGTACTGAAGAGAAGATAGTACTGCAACTATGGAAGTCTTCATATTCTTCCCAGATTTTCATGCTGGGGGTTTAAGGTCCTAAAAATTGAGTAACCTGCCAGTAGACAAGGTGTAAAACAGTGCTAGTTGCGTAAAGGTTGCACTTCTCCCCGAAGTTAGCGTGCAGGCCCACATTGCGAGGGTGCCCTGCTCTGAGAACCGTAACGTCCCAGTGTAAAGGTGCCCGGGACCGTCACTCAGTCTTTTTTTTCAATTGTCCAGGTACAGTTGTTTCCATTTTCCCTTCACACTCCCCCCTCCTTGCTTCATACAGTCTTTTATTTTTGTTATTTTGTTTATACAGATGACTTTGTTTTATAAATGTTACTTAAATTCTGTTTTTATAGAAGTGATACAAAGATGACTTGTTCTCTGTGAGAGAAGTTTCAGTTCAGAGTGTAAAGAGGTCTGGCTTGGTAAAAATCTCTCTCTTAGGTTTCCATGCGTTTTTAGGTCATATAGTTAACTGCTGAGATACCTTCATTTTGCCAGAGACAGTAGAATATAGTGATTTCTTTGGGCATCAGAGCTAGACTGGCTGGTTGAAACCCCAGCCTGCACGTTGGTTACTCGCATGACCTTGAACCCGCTCCGCGCTTTCGTTTTCCCACTTGCTGTGAAGTACGCAGGGCCGTACACTACAGAGCTGTGAGAACTAACTTCGTTATTGCAACACCCGGCACAGTGTCAGCTGCCGCTATTGCGAGGAGGAGGAGTGAGTGTCCTTACACATTTGCTGGCATTGAAACATTTGTAAGATTTCCTCCTGTAGGCAGGTAAACTTAGGCTGTGACCTAGTGGTGAGGCGCAGGGTTGTGTAGCTGACGAGGGATCGGTACCAGGATTAAAACTTGTGGCTTTTCAAGTCTTTGACCTTACTGGTGTAGAGAAAGAAGGAAAGTGAAGGTTTATTGCTACTTAACCTTCAGGGGACAAAAGTCTACAAAGCGTCCCATTGTTGTCATGACCTACTTACGTAGCTCTGTCTTGTGTTCTTAGAGAGCAAAAGTTACGTGGACAGAGGTCTGAGAAAAATGCGTGAGCTTGTTTTTCAGTACAACCAGCTGAGCAACCCACGCGTACTGTCGTTGGCAAACCCTGGCCTGCGGTCCAAGTCCAGCCTGCTGCCTCGTTTTGCAAATAAAGTTTTATTGGAGCCTGCCCTGCAGTGACATGACAAGAGGTTGCCGCAGAGGGTATAGTTAGCCCGTCCCCAGTCTAGACTGTTAAAGTAGTTCTGTTTTTAAAAAGTAAAAAACAATTTAGGTGTAGGGAGAAGGATTATACTGATTTTCTGTATACCTGATATTTGTTTTGTATCTTAGTCAGTATTGTTTCAGAGCCCCCTTGTGCCTGTGTGAGAAAAACAAAGGGTTGATACGGATTCTAGAATATTTTAAATTACATAAGTGACTTGCTTCATAATTCCGTTACTGACACAGCTCTCGGCCTGTGCACATTATTGAATACTGCCTCCATCTTTTGGTAGATAACAGAAATGCACTAAAAAGAGCATTGCGTTTACAAGTATGAAAAAATTTTAATAGAATGATGTGAATTCCATCATCTGAAATGTTATTTAAGTTACAATAATTGTAGTACATGGAAAAGAAGGGGAAAGGCAGTATGGTGTGAAAAAGAGTCAGCGATGCAGCTGCCAGTGGGAGTTCTGTGCTGTGTGACCAAGAGCCGTGGCGCACAACAGAGGACGTTCTGGTTGTCACTGGGGAGGACGTGCAGACTAAAACTTGACAAATGATTCTTCGTTATGAAGATGGAGTTGTCAGTTATGTTGGTCACGTTTTAAATTTAGAAAGTTTTTTCTTTTTTTTAATTACAGGAAAGAAGAAAATGAAATATTTGTTTTTGGATCTTTATAAAGCAAATGGTTTAGTGTGCCTGTTGCAGGGCAACAGAAATCTATAGACTATTAAAATTGTGTAATTCTTTAATCTCATTCTCTCCAAAATGTCCATATTTATAAATACCACTTGCATTTTTTAAAGCAAAGAATGCAGGGAGAATTTACTATTTTATACTGTCCTTTATATTCTAAGGTGTCTAGACCAGTTGGGAATAAAGCTTAATTGTACTTATTTATTCTTACACTAATTGTATGTAAGATTTTATTACATACGTGGCTAAAATTTTTGACTTTTTATCATTTAAAAGTTGTATATTCTGGTTTGAACTGGAAAACATCTTGGCTTTTAGAGTTTTTTCCCCTAGAAGACTTTTACTTAATGCAGCTTATTTACTATAGGTAATTTAAAATTAGAGCATACCCCCCCCAGAATAGTTAAATGAATATGAAAATAGAAACTATAAAAAGTGCTTATGTTTTATCCTCTCAGGAAGATAGCAGAGCAGAAACTTTTTCCTAATAAGACACTGAAAATAAGGTGCTTTAATAGAACGAAGTTATTTGTTTAAAGTAAGACAATTCCACTTAAAAATAATGTTATTTTAAAATCATTGTTTTAAAATATTTTACTCTTTAAATACTTATATTTTTTATCTTTGTAAGAAGTAATATGTAAATAGTTATAAAAACTGAAATATTAGAAATAAAGTGAAATATTAGAGATAAATAAAAAAGTGAAATATTAGAGATAAATTAAAATATTGGAGATAAATCTAGAGATAAAATATCCCTCCGGGCTGGTGTTTGTGCGCCTCTCCCCCGGGGTGGGGCCTGGGGCCCACTGGGTTGCATCCTTCCGGTCGTGCACGCAGGGGTCTTTGCCGCTCTGGAGAGGGCGCTTGCTCTCCTGCCTCAGGGGCGAGGCGCACTGTGTACTGTGTAGTGTGTGCTGCTGCACGTTTTGTCTTGGAGCCATTTTCACGTCTCCACATATAACTCATTGTGACTTGGTTTACTATTTTAGATTTTATTTATAAAATAAATAGATTTATATTATCAAATAAGTCAAGCCACCAATTCCACCTCATTCTAGTTCCATTCCTCTTGAATTAAGCCTTTCTCATACTTACGCAAACATTCGGCATCATGTGTAGAGTTGGTGTGTGTGTTTTTTCAGTAATTAAAAAGTTCAGGCTCTGCACATTATTTCCCAGCTAATTATTTCACTTAACAGTATGAGGTGATCATCTTCCCACTTATTCTTTTGATGAGAAACTTCCATAATGTGGAAAGACCATTTTTAGGTCTTCGCCCATATAGACAGTGTTGCATAATCATCCTTGTCCATGAATTTATATACAGGTGCTTTTTAAAAATTTCTGACATCATCAAGGAGGATGTTGGTGTTAACTTTAAAATTTTCATGGATAGTATTGTACGAGATTACTTTTGCAAAGTAAATGCTACACTTGTTTCTCAGAATTCCATGTTTACCAATCTGATGGTTGCGCGGTGTCATCTTTAAGTGACAGCTCCCTAGCTGCTCATGGAGCTGAGCACCTTTTCATGGCCTCATGGACCATTGGATCGCTTCCTCAGTATTTTGCTTGGTGTATTTCTGTCGCTTATTTTTCCGTTGGGCTGTTCTTTTTTGTGTGTTCATAAGTTAGTAGCTCTTTCTGTGAGTGTGTTGCAGATATGTCTTCATGGTATCTTTTCATGTGCAGTTAAACATTCAGTCAAATAGTTTTTAGTGAAATAATTTTCCTTTTATGGCTTCTGAATTTTTATCTTGCTTATTTAGGACAGTCTCCCCCAGTCTAAGATTGTACAGATCTTCTCTAGGAATTTTATAGTTTTGAATGGTATTGTTGCAGGCATTTTGTTTTTTCATTTTTACCTGGTTGTTGAGGATATTGAGAAAACTGTGGATTTTTAAAAATTAAGTAATTCTCTCAATTCAAGTAATTTTTTAGTGTTCTTTTGTACTCACTGAACTTTCCCCCCAATACTTCAGGCCCGTTATCCCTCGATTGTGTCACCCGAGTCTTCAGCCTGACGGTGAATAACAGGAGTGCGGGCAGGCGCGCTGTGCCGCCCTGACTGTAGCGCGGGTGTACCTGGCGTTTCACTCCTCCATGTGGGGTGCGCTCTTGGTTTTGGAAAATGGTCTCGTAATCATTTGTGTTGCCTGCTTGCTTTATTTATGTTTTATATTAGGAATGGCTTGAATTTTCCACATGCCCATTTTACTGATACTAACACTTTCTCTTTAATATTTGGATGTGATGATGAATTTTGTGATAGATTCCTAATGTGGAAGAAGCCATGAACTCCTGAAATAACCCTGCTGTGGTCATTGTACAATACTTTTTTAATCATTGCTATATTCCCTTAGCTTTGCTTAGAATTTTTTCTCCCATTCATAATTTAAAATACCTGTTTTCCCTTTTTGTACTGTCATTATCAAGGTTTGGATGTTAAGGTTCTGTTAGCTTCAGATTGAATTGCTGATAACAGAATGTTGAAAATATTCAAAGATGGGTACATGAGAATTTTGTGATACTATTCAGTGTATCTATGTTCGTTTGGAGTTTTCCATACTAAAAGGTGTTTACAATTGAATTAGAGACTTTTCTATATTTTCCTAAGGTCAAGGATAGTAGAAGAAATAGGAATTGTTTCGTTTTTCAGATGTTGGGAGGTTTTGGCTGTAAAACCTACCCATAACTGATAACTTATTAAATTATAAATCTTGATTTATATTTGTGGGATATTTAGTGGCCTCTTTTTAAAAAGTGCATGGATTTCCTTGGTTCAACTTTTGTTAAGTGATATTTTTTGGGGGGGGGACTGTTGAGGGGGGAGATTTAGTTTTAAGTGTTGTATTTGTTGCTAATAGAACTGATATCCATGTAACTATTTCTATAAATATTTTTCTTAGAAATATATGCATTTCTCTAGGATAAACCTAGAAGTGGAATTAATTACAGGTTATTGCATGTTTGTATTTTTTGTTTGGATAAATAGCTGCCAATTTACCCTCACATAGTTACGCTTATTTACACTTATTTTTACCATCCTTTGTGAGTTAGTGCTTCTCCATGTGTTTCCGTACAGCTGGTGTTATGTGACAGCTCTTGGGAGTGATGAGATGATTTCTAGTGACTTTAACCTGTGTGTCCCTAGTTGCTCGTAGGGCAGACATGTTTGCATGTGTATTGTCTACTTGTATATCCATTTTGGTGAATTGCCTCTTTCTAGTATTTACTCATTGTTCCCATAAGTTGTCTCTTTTAAACTGACTTAGAGTTTTTTTAATATATTTTAAATGTCAAATACTTATATATGTTGTTAGGTCTATATATATAGCCTCACTATTGAACTCTTATAACATGTTAGATCAAACTGTATGAAATTGCTAATATTCAGCTGTTGAAACTAAAAACCCCATTTCATTTGGTTTAACCCAATACATGTATCTTTACCAATTATTTGCATGCATTTTAACTTTTTATGTGATCACCTTTGACGATATATCATGGCTTTTGTGCATTGAGTCTTTTACAGTGCTTTATTTTCAGTGATACAAATTTTTTTAAAGTATTTTATGTTTAGGACCTTTATCGTGAAATGAATTTATATTTTTGTCATTGATACGCACAGAGATCTAATTTTTCTAAGTTTGTGGACAGTTGTCCTAATGCTATGAAAGATAGTATGTTCCTTCCGACAGTTCTAGACTGCCGCTATGATAAGCCGCTCCTGCGGACTTTGTTTTTTGAGAACTGTTAGAACAAGTCCCTTGTCATTTTTTTTTTTTTAAGTTCTCCTGCAAATGATTTTCACCCCCATCTCCAAGCTTACGGCTCTTCATTTTCTGAATGTGCAGCCTCCGGAGCAGGGAGGAAGAAAGGGTTTCTAAGCCCGGGGCTGCCTCGGCTCCTGTCAAGCACGCGGATGGCCATGCGCCCAAGGCAGGGGAGGAAGCTGTAGCTGAGAGAAATGAGAAGCCGGCGCCCACTCTTCCAGGTAAGCCCGCGAGGCACTGAGTCCACAGAACGCTGGCACTCAGACCAAAGTATTTGTTGGGATTTGCGGGAGGTTTAAAAGACACTGCTATTACTACTACTACTATTATTACTACATTAGTATTACAGTTACTGCTCCCTGTGTTTGATTTTTCCTGTGTTGGACTTTCAGCGTGCTCTTTATGGGTGGAAGGTTGGCATGGGTCTGTAGGCATGGATTTTTTTTTTTTTGTAGGTAGAAATTATTCATGGCTTAAGAAAAACATTTTAAAATTATTTGCTTATTGAAAAGTGTGGGCATAAACACTTTATAAAGTATACCTTCTGGGGCTGTATATGAGAATCTGCAGGGTCTCAAGACTGTTTGCTTAAAAGGCCTGGAGATTTTGGTTTTGATATCTGTTCCTTTTCTCAAATCTTTTTTTTTTTTTTTTTTTGATCTGCTTGTTTAGTGGCGGGAATGTGGATATTTAAACATAAATTTTAACACAGGGAAGAAAGAAGGCTGCTTTCATAGCCTTAACAGAGATGTAGATTCTCATACATTCTTTTTCTTCTGTTATTCTTAGAGTAGATTATTCAGACCGTAAAAGCTGGTTCTGTGGAAAGCACAGGGGAACATGTAACATGCAAATTTGTATAAAGACACGAGAATTGGTAACTAAACTGTACTCTGACACGTATAATACATATGTTCCTTATCAGGTTCTCTGAACTTACATATTTGGCAGATATTTTTGCTTGTTTATTTCACTGGTGGTTTATATCACTATTCCATTTTGTAAAAAGTGATTTCTACACAGTGTAAATTTTCTTTCTTTTAGAACCAAAGCCTGTGTATGCTCAAGTTGGACAGCCAGACGTGGATTTGCCTGTCAGTCCGTCTGATGGCGTCCTACCTAATTCAACGCATGAGGATGGGATCCTTCGGTAATGTGGTTTTAAACTTGTGTCGTCTTCCCTGTCCACTATTAAGTGTTAGTTAAAGTGAGAGTTCAGTTGCAGACCACATTGCATATACTTTTAAAAATAGTGTATACCATTAATATTATGATTAGGGGTCTTAAAAATGTATTTATATGATAGAATCAGAGATTAAAGAACAACAAAGAAACTTTCTGGATGTTCACTTTTTTTTTTTTTTTTTTACCACCATCTACCTAGTTTTTAGGCCATGAATTAAAAAATTAAAAAATTGTTTTCTCTTTAGACATCAGATTTTTCACAAGCTTTCTAATGCTCTAGCATGAAATAAAAAAATAGTGTTTCTCCATTTCAGCTTTAATCAACATTTTGGCCAGACAATAAACCTTGTTTATTGTGGTCTGTTCAGTAGCATCTCTGGCCACTCACTGACAGTAGCACCCCCACACCACATCCCCCGGTTGTGACAACGAAAAATGTTTCCAGACACAGTCAGATATTTCCTGGGAGCCAGGTCACAGCTGGGTGAGACCGTGTTCTAGATTAGTCAGCATCTCTAGGTATTTTATACTCTGTCCCTTTTATTCCTTTCTATTTTATGGTTGGTGGGATTGAGATGTAAATTTTCTAACCAGATCTCAAACCATCTTGATTATGAAATTCGTTTCCTGTTGCCTCTCTGGTGAAAGGCACATGACGGTCCAATGTGAGGTTGAACCTAAAGCGGTCCTCGAACGGTGGTTTTTAACAGCCCGGCTGAACCGGAGGAGGCAGGCTGCAGTGGGCCGCTTCTGCTCTTTGAGGCGCAGTAGGTGGGGTCCCCGTTAGGCGAGGACTTCAGGGGCCTGCAGTCATAAGGACTTGGAGCTCTCCGGACACTTGGTTCAGAAGACGAGTCTGTTTGGCTGAGCTCTTGGCTTGCTGGGAAGGGAGGATAACTTCACCGCCAGGGGCCCCACACCCTTCACGATAAAACGAGGTACCAGCAGCCCCGGCTGCGCGACTGCATCGTGCTGACCAGCTCTCGGGGGTGTGTCTGGCTGATGTGAGGCCAAAGGAGGAAGCCAGTCATGACCGCCTCCTTGGTTCTAAAGGCTCATCAGGTGGTCTCTGGGGGTTAAAGATTGGCCGCCTTCTCTTTCCTCAACTCATTGATTCATTTATTTGATTTATGGGGTTTTTTTAATTAGATTCTGTTAGTGTCTATTAATTTGCTCATTGTTACTTATTGAGCAAAGAGAAAAGGGACTTTTTCTATACTTCATGTCAAAATGGGCCAAAGAATGTGGAATAGTTAATAGAAACTAGAAGAGGGGTTTGTAGTTATGTATGTAATTTGTAATTAATTACCCTCAGGGGAATTTGTAATTCCCACCTGCTTCTACCCAGCCATTCTCCTTAAGGCATCCTTCAGGGTGGGGTGGTAGGAGAGTCACGAGGCTTTGACACCCCACGGATTAGACGATTAGACAGGGCTGTGCATGCATCAGTTCCTCCCCATTCTCTCTCCAGCAAGAAAGGGGCAGGCAATGCACATGGGCTAACCCAGAAACGCTGAGCGATGGCAGGATGTTTATTGCAAATTCAAAGGGCCGTAGAACACGTGATAGTTGTGGCCGACTGAGAGCGTCTACCAACGGCGGAGTCTCCGGTCCACCGTCCACTGGCTGTAGAGATCACAGTGTGTGGGGCCTGGTTCCCACTCCCTGGTGTTAGGAAAATGTGCAGTAGTTTATGCTTCAGTTTTTACCTGTATAAAGTAGTACTTCTCAATTATTCAGTGGCAATAATGCGGCATGAATTGGGATAGTAAAAAATGGGAGTTTTTTAGCCATGGGGAATGCACCGTATGTATCCACGACTCTGAGAGTTGGGCAACATTGTTTATATAAAGTGATTTTAGAAATTAGTATGTAAAGCAGTACCTGCATGTCAGTCCTGGATATTTTGAAACCTACTTTGTTAATCAGAAAATAAAAGAAAATGCTGTTGAATCTGATTTTTAATTCTAACCCTAATGGTGTGGGGAAAGCCCAGAGGTGACCGCCCTTCATTCCCTTCTGCATATGGTTTCCATTGCAGCCGTGTGCCGAAACTTGTCAAGCCTCTCTCAACTGTTTAAAATGAGATGCTTGTTTAAAATGAGATACTTGTTTAAAATGAGATACTTGTTTCAACAGGCCCAGCATGAAATTGGTAAAATTCAGAAAAGGAGATAGTGTGGGTTTGCGGCTGGCCGGTGGAAATGATGTCGGAATATTTGTAGCTGGCGTTCTAGAAGACAGCCCTGCGGCCAAAGAAGGCTTAGAGGAGGGTGACCAAATTCTCAGGGTAAGTCCGTACACTGACTCATGTGGGTCTGAAGTGCTTCGATCTGTGGAAAAGGGCGTCACATAGCAAACCTACTGCAGTAAGTAGAGTGTAACCTACATCACAGTCTCTTGAACCACTTAAACATTCAGGTTAAGAACTCATCAGACCTTGGATGTGCCAGACTTTCACTTCCTATCCCTGCGTTTACCGCACCTCTTGTTCACTGCACCTTTTTTAGTTCAGCTGAACTTTGAGGCCAGCAGGACTCTGCCCGGGCCACCACTTAGCAGTAGGCCTGTGTCGGGTGTTGCTCCACCCAGGAGTGGTCATCTTCGCAGCGGCCCACACAGGAGGTGGGGCTGCCTTCAGGCAGAGGCGTGGCCGCCCTGGCTCTGCCGCCCTCGCACCCCATGCGAGTCAGGAGAGCCCTGTTTATTAGCTCAGCCTGCCAGCGGGGTCTTTTTTCTTCCTTCCTTTTTCATAGCGGTGTGGCCAGTAACACAGGAACACCTTTATTTGTCTCTTCTCTTTTTAAAATATCCAAATTCCTGGTAGATGAGCCACTTTAATCAGAAGGTCAGATCTGTCGAGAGTGAGTGTGTCCATTTGCTCTACTTCCCATCTTCACATTGTCACTGCCCCTCTGATCTGGTGACTTCCTGCCCGCAGGCTCCCTGCTGCCCGCAGGCTCCCTGCTGCCCGTGTCCTGGAAGCAGCCTCCCGACCCACAGTCCTGCCCTGCAGGGCAGGTGTTTCTCTTTCCTGCCCCTCGTGCTTCATCTCTCTGCCACCATCTTATGTCTCTACTTTTGCTGTTGAACTTGCTGAGTCCCTCCCCTGCTTTGTTCCAGCCAGTGCTGCCACACGATGGAGTCTTCCACCTTGACCCCCACTGAACCTGGACTTGTATAAGCCATCAGAGACCTCATGTCAACTGCAGCCCCCACTTTCCTTCATTTCTTTGCCATGTTTTGAAGGTCTTAAGTTATCTCTCTTGAATTCCTTTCTTCCTTGGATGCCACATCTGCCATGCTGGATCTCTGATCTTTCAAATTCTCTTCCCACCTTCTTTGGTGATTCTTCCACACTTGAGGGAATCAGGGCATGCATCATTTTAAAAATAGTCTTAATAGTTTATTTGGGATCATAAAAGTAGTACATGTTGACTTTTTCCTAAATGTGGGAATTTTCAAAAGATGAAAAGGAGCCCATGTCCCTGTCATTCTGCATATAGCCGCCGGTGACATGGGGACAAGTCCATGTTGGTTTTTCGGAGCTTCTGGTACAAGTGACTGTCGTCTTGGCAGCCACTGAGCCTGCATCCAATGACAGATGCTCTAATGGAGGTGCCACAGTGCGCACACTAGTTCTTTTTTTATCTTGTTTCTTTTTCATTGCTTCTGCAGGGACTAGTAAAGGAGGATTTCTTGAATATTTACAGAACTTACAATTTTAAATTTTAAAGCCAGAGATTTCCCAAAAATAACAAGTGTGTGGAATTGGAAGTTGTCTTTTGGTCTAAACTGATTAGATTTTGCAGTGGACGATCATTAATGTCAGGTTGCATGGTGACTACTTTTTAGATGAATTTATACCTTCACTCACTTTATTTACTTGGTTTTTACTTGTTCTAAATTACAATATATTCTTTTCTCCAAAGTAAAATAAATTTTTCCCTCTTCAAGTTGTGATATTCTTAAGTTAGGTAAATGGGGAGTGTTTGCTTCCTGTGTAGATAGATATTTTTGTAATTTGTGAAATGCATTTGTAACAGGTAAACAATGTCGACTTCACAAATATCATAAGAGAGGAAGCCGTCCTCTTCCTGCTCGACCTCCCGAAGGGAGAGGAAGTGACCATCCTGGCCCAGAAGAAGAGAGACGGTGAGCTGTTGCCGGGGTGTGGAGGGCAGGGACCTGTGGAAATTTGAGGGCTTAACAGGGGGTTTTCATTTGAGTTTTTAGACTAGATCAGTCAAGGTTGAGGGGTACATCGCTTTGTCAGTCTCACGGGGAGCTAATAATTTTAAGTCATTAGGGGCCCCCAGTCTGACACTGCCCGTTGGCACAGCGCAGCAGTAGGACCTTCCAGCCTTGCTGGCTTTCTAATGTCAGTAGGGTGGCACCCGGCCCCGCACAAGGCACAGAGAACTCCATCTGTGTGTTAGCCGTCAGAATCACGCAGATGTATATATGGGCGGCTTCCGGGGTTTGTGCTGATGTTTTCTAGGCAGTACTCTCTGACGTTTGTAGCACTGATTCAAGAGAATGCCGGATCTTCTCTGATTAAACAGAACCACTGTTCATTCAGAACAGGGCTCCTCGTCCTTGACAGTATTGACACTTGGGGTGAAATAATTCATTGTCGTGGGAGCCTTCTGTGCATTGCAGGATGGGTAGAAGGATCCCCAGCCTCTACCCTCTAGATGCCAGTAGCACCCACAGTCTCCTCCCAGCACCACAGTTAAACAACAGTCAGAAACGTCTCAGGTCTTGCCACATACTCCCTTCGGCGGGGGGGGGGGGCAGGCAAAATTGCCCTCATCTGAGAGCAGCTCATTTAGAAAATCGAATGTCTGTAACTCAGCGACATTAAAATAGGGGGTTCAAGTAGAAAGCATGGGTGGCTTTGGAGAGGCTGTTGATCTGTTTGTGCATCAGTTTGTCACGGGCAAAGCAGCGGTGCTAAGAGTTTGTATTTCATGAAGTAATGGTGACGTACTTGAGGCAGAATATGCACCACAGTGCCCAGCAGTTCAGTGTTTGCTATTATTTGTGTATTTGTTATTATTATTTGTTATTATTAACAGTACCAACAGCATCTTCCTATCATGTGTCTTCTTCGGGTTAATTTCTTGTCCCACTGCTATTGATAACATTTTCCTCTGCATTCTTTTTAGTTTATCGTCGCATCGTAGAATCGGATGTAGGAGACTCTTTCTATATTAGAACCCACTTTGAGTATGAGAAGGAATCTCCCTATGGACTTAGTTTTAACAAAGGAGAGGTGTTCCGTGTCGTGGATACCTTGTACAATGGGAAACTGGGTTCGTGGCTTGCTATTCGAATTGGCAAAAATCACAAGGAGGTAGAACGAGGCATCATCCCTAACAAGAACAGGTACGAACATTTCTGTACTCCTCAGAACAAATTAAGTAACGATGACAAGATTTCAATCCCAGTGGGAAATTTTGGTAATATAAACAATTAGTTTTCATTGTACTCATCATATCAGTAACTGACTTAGTTGTTCAGACTCCTTTATCTTAGTTTAACCATTAAGACATAAACTGCATGTGACACCCTGTCCAGAACTTGGACATCTTGTTCTTTGTGGGTCTTTCTCCGTTTTGTGTTCTTAAAATACCTGTATTTTATTTTCATCTTCTCCTGCCCAGAGCCGAGCAGTTAGCCAGTGTACAGTACACGCTTCCAAAAACCGCAGGCGGAGACCGCGCCGACTTCTGGAGGTTCCGTGGCCTCCGCAGCTCCAAGAGGAATCTTCGGAAGAGCAGAGAGGATTTGTCAGCTCAGCCAGTTCAAACGAAGTTCCCAGCATATGAAAGGGTTGTTCTTCGAGAAGGTGGTTTATTTTCTATAGACTAATCCAATTCCCTTAATGTCAATATGCTTAAGAAAGAAAAGGTACAAGCTCTGCTACTTTTCATTTGAATTTCTCCGCAGCTGGATTTCTGAGGCCTGTAACCATCTTCGGACCAATAGCTGATGTTGCCAGAGAAAAGCTGGCGAGAGAAGAACCCGATATTTATCAGATTGCAAGTAAGTAGCCTCAGTACCGACTTCGGTAAGGGGGAGATGTTTCTTTACCAGCCACTCCTCTGAAGGATGGGTCTCATGCATTCACTTAAGAGCAGCAGAACTTTTTATAAGAGAAACTTGGAAGTTTACTCCATTTATTTAACTCAGAGGGAAACCTGAGTGAGTGAGTCCTCGTTTGCGGAATTGTCTTTAATAATGAGGGTTGCTATTTCTGAAGCTCTGGCTTTGTAAGGAAACTGCCCAGCAGATGAGGTTGATGTCGTTTAACCCTGACAGAGTCACCAGGGGGTAAGTGCTGGTGCTGACGTGGAGCGGCATGAGCCATAGGGTGGTACCGTCGGGACCCACGTGCACCCCTTCAGTCTAACCTTCCCTGGTGACACCCAGCCAGTGAGTCACGGGCCGACTTTGATCCCAGCCCTTCCTGGCCGCAGCCCAGAGCTGGCCGTCATTAAGCAAACAAATAGTCAGATGTTTGAAAAGATAATAAAAGCGTGATTCGTGCTGTCAGTTACTCCTGCAGACATTTGCAGCAAGTGAGCGGTACGGAATTTGAGGATGTAGTGCTTTAAATGCTTTTGCCTGCACGATCATTCATAGTTTTGCATAGTTTGGCTATTATGATAGTCTAAATATACGAACTGAGACCACTTTGGCTTGCATAAATTGTATGTAAAAACCTAAACTTTATTTTCAAGTTATAAAATATTACTCTCTATTTGGAAAAATTAAAAAATTAATTTTGACATACATCATCATCACCCTAAATTTTGCCCTATTGTGTTCTCATCCATCCTTCCCACCCTTCACAGACATACTTTTGTGAAGTTTTATATATACTGTTTTAGAAAGTTTATACCTTGTTTTCCTTCTTAATAGAGAGTAAACGTTTTTACTATCAGTTCTGCAAATAATTTATGACTTGATCATTCCGTTTGTATAGTTTGTTTTAAATTTATATTTTATTATTACAGAGGATATAGAAATGTGCCCATGTTTTGTTTGCGAGGTATACTTTGCCTTGTTTTCCAAAGGGTTTAACTTCCAAAGGGTAGCTTTTCCCACATTCGTGGTGATACGGGACGGACCACAGGGCATGTGTGTTTTCTGGCGGCTGCTGTGTGTAACTGTCATTGCGCCCCCCGGGGGGGCCTGTCTTGTTCGCACAGTGCACGTAAGCGCGAACTTAGAGAGTCAGAGCATTGCCTTGTGAGACGCCTTTTCATTTGGTTGCTGGTGAAGGTGAATGAGGGTATTGATTTTTCTGAGAGTCAAAAGATTTGCAAACAATGGTAAAATTTGAGCAAGTTAGACAAATGTTTCTTTCTCATTCCCCTACTCAATTCACTTTTTTGCAGAAGAGGTCTTTCGTTCGGTCATTGTTTGTAGGTAGCGTTTTTCCTGAAGTGAGCGATCACCTCGCCCAGAACCAAACACAGGGTTTTGATGTGTAGGGAAAGCAAGTGTGAAGACTTACAGAGCTCTGCCTTAAGGAGAAATTGATTGGTTTAATTGGTTTTATTCTGCAGCCAGGCTCTTATAAAAGGGATTCAGAGAGCTTATATTTATCCTCTTTGAATCTAATGAGAGTCCTTGAAGTTTAGGAATTCATAGCATTTTCTCCAGCCCAGACTCGCAGCTGATGTCTCTCCTTTATTCTCATGCATCCACCAGAGGTGACATTCTGCCCTCCTTGCTTCTGGACCTTGGTCTCACCGTGGTCTCATTACCTGGAATCGCTCCCCTCGCCCCGCAGGCTGACCTCTGTCTTTCCAAATGGCTGCCTTTCTCGGATCTGGTCTTCCTTTCACTCTTCCCTTGTCACCAGAGTCACAAACATTACTGTGCCTGTTTAGTGAAGAACCGTGTGTAAATTGGGCCTCTGAGATTCATGGTTCGACATCGGCCCAGGCTGCGGTGGGCATGTGATGCACCAGGAGGGAGGGACAGGCTGCCGGCAGGAGTTGGCACCTGCTCCCCGCCTCACCTGGCCGGCCCGCTGCACTGTGGTTGCCGATGGGTTATGGACCTGCCCAGGGGTTGGTCTCAGCCTGCGGTGCGGGGATGGTGGGTGGGAGGCGGCTGAGGGGCCTGCTGCGCAAACGCTGCCGTTCCTTCATGTCCGCAGTGTGGACAGGGTTTGGGAGCAGAGCTGTACTAACCCGTGTTAAAGCCCTGGGCAAAGGGAAAAATCGCAGTTCTATATACATGTCTGTGTGCTTTTCTAGTGGTTACTTTTTTTTTTTTTCCTAGAGCAGGAAAGTAGATTGAAAATTTTTGCAAAACAATAATACGCATATTAAAACTCATTATTCTAAGTCTGAATATTTTAGTTATAACAAACACAGAATTTACAGTTTTATTTTCCTGGCTTTAATGGAAGCAAGCTCAATATTATATTGCAGATCTATGTTTCTATTTCATTTTCACTTACAAGAATTGCCATCGTTGATGGTCTCTTTTAGTCGAGTGACAATCTTAAGTAACTTTCATTCAAGTTCCGTTTTCTGGTTCTCTTTGATATTTTGGTGTGTTTATTATAGAGTATTAATTTTGATTTTTTGAACTTACTGTATCCAAATATTGCATGATTACTGATGCCTTGGGGGGACCCCATTACATTTTGCACCTGAGGCAAGTGCCTCACCTGCCTTCTCATCCCGGGCATTGTTGGGAAGCATTGCTCTTAGCCCAGTGGTTCTCATTTAGGGCCTTTCTGCCCCACTGGGGGCATTTGGCCATCTGGGGACATTTTTGTTGTCACAATGGGAGCAAAAGGGAGGCAGGGGCCAGACCTGCTGCTAAACAGGCCATAGGGCACAGGACTCCCCCAGCGAGTACTACGCAGCCCGCGTGTCAGTAGCACCCAGTCCTTGAGAAACTCCGATCTAACCAATGGAAATGAATGTTTTGTCTTTGTCCTGACTTCGTGAATAGAAAGTGAACCACGAGATGCCGGAACTGACCAGCGTAGCTCGGGTATTATTCGCCTTCATACAATAAAGCAAATAATAGATCAAGTAAGTTACTAAAAAATTGATCTATTTCATTATAAGCTGTGAATGTTGTATTTTTGAGTGGGATGAAGTTTGGTTAATTTGAAAATAGAAAGTACGTTTTTTCCTAAAATTATTACTGGTGTGTCATACCAAAAGCCATTATAATAATCACTTTCAAGAGAATAGTAGTAGTACATGCATCAAAAGATGATTTTTTGATTACACAAAAAGTATAATCAAATATTAATAAGATTGTGTTTATATTGCATTAGTACAACTAAAGTTGTACTTTGATTTTTATGATAGGGACTCTGTTTTTACTCTATGAGATCATGTCAGGAATATTAAATTGTTGTATATACGATCAATCAATCTAACCCAGTGATTTTCAGCTGGCGTGCCACGAGAATATTCACAACGTACAATACCTGTCAAGTCAGGGGCATTGACCTCTTTTCCCTTAGATTGTCACATGAAAAAATGACAGCAGCCGGTATAACAGTAGCTGTCCATTGTGAATGAATCAAAATTATACCTTTTTTTTTTTGTCAGATCAGCAAAGAAATATATTTTTTGGTGTGCTGCAGAATTTTAGTATTAGGTTATATGTGCCATGAGATGAAAAAGGTTGAAAATCGCTGATCTAACCAACACAGATACAGTACTGTCAGCTTGCAAGTATTGGGACTATCTTAAAAGCGAGCTAGGTAAACGTTGTTTGTTTTTCTCCAAGGCTAGAAATTGTAATTGAATTAACATCTGATTACAAATTTTCTACTCTGTGCTCCTGGGGCATGAGAACATACTTGAAGGTACATTATCATTGGAATATAGTTTAGGCTGTGACTTTCTGTGATGATTCTTAATTAACTGCGTCTTACATCCTTATTTCTTTTTCCTTGCATCTCCAGGACAAACATGCGTTGTTAGATGTAACACCAAATGCAGTTGATCGTCTGAATTACGCCCAGTGGTACCCAATTGTGGTATTCCTTAACCCCGATTCTAAGCAAGGTGTGAAAACAATGAGAATGAGGTTATGTCCAGAGTCTCGGAAAAGTGCCAGGAAATTATATGAGCGGTCTCATAAACTGCGTAAAAATAATCACCATCTTTTTACAAGTGAGTATTTTAAAGGACTTCTTTCAGTTTAAGTGCTTGGGCAACAATCTGTAGGCAACAATCTGTAGGCAACAATGTTGTGTTGTTCCAGCCCTAAAACTTCCATAACCTTGGCCCGGAAAGCTTCCCAGTGTATTGCAGGCACCATCTGATAGAAACAAAGTTTGTGCCCTCGAACACCATCTTCCATGTCGCTCAGTAATGACGGCGGCGCTCTGGCGGGGTTCCCTGGATCTGGACTCTGCGCGACGTTCTAACTGTAAAGCAATGTCGTTCTGTTTTCAGCTACTATCAACTTAAATTCGATGAATGATGGTTGGTATGGTGCATTGAAGGAAGCAATTCAACAACAGCAGAACCAGTTGGTGTGGGTTTCTGAGGGAAAGGTAAGAAATTTCCCATTTTGTTTTAAACCTCTTTACTAAATTATACAACTGAGCAGAGATTTTTGGGACATTTTGTTTTCTGACTGATTCAGGTTTTTATAATTTGTATATAGGGGTTATGAATGTTGTTTTTGATGGCAGGATCTTCAGAAATTTTCCCAATTGTTGAGTTACCACTTCCGTGGTGGTCCCTTAAGAGGATTCTTAAACTGTAACGGAAAGAGCAGGGCTGAGTTCTAATTGGCTGCTGTCGGCCTGGGGAATGACTTTGACCCTGGCTTCAGGCAGCTTCTTCCTCTGACAAGGAGGGAGCTGTTTCCAAAGTGCTGTCCTCAGCCCATGAGACTCAGGGCTTGGAGCGAGGGGAGGAGGCTGCGCAGGCGGGGGTAGCGGCCTGTCACCGCAGCCTGGACGGGAGCAGGGCCCCCCCACCCAGCGTGCCCAAAGCGGGTGCGTCCTGTTGGCGCTTCCCCGCATCCTTACCTGTGGATTTGGTTTCTTCACTCAGCACCTGCTAATATCCTCACAACATAACCAGGAAATGTTGGACAAAGCTGTATGTCCTTTTGGCTTTAAACCATTAACTTACAGTCCTCCAAATGGCCAGCTTTAAAATACCTAATTTCTGCTGTCACTCTCTGGTTTAGAGCAGTCTTTAATGGGAATGGTCTGTTCGTGATGTTGGGAGAGTTAATAGGTTTCTCAAAGTTGATAGCTGAAGGAACCTTTTGATTTTGCTCTTTTACCATCAGATCAGTACAATATTAATATGTTTTGGTTTCTAGGGAAGATTGAGAATGTCTGTTTTTTTTATTTTGTTCTTCACATTTCTTTGTTGGCTTGGTTTGTGTTGTGTTTTGCCCCTGCATGGCCTCCCTGCTCCCCTGCCTGGCTGTGGGTACAGGTGCTCCCGCGGCGCATGCCGCATGCTCAGGGCCGCTGCGCCCTTGTCCCGGGCTCACGCAGCCGCTGCGGCACAGGCGCTGTCACACCCAGACGTGGCGTCTGCCCCCCCCCCCCCCATGGCAGCGCCCCAGCACCCTGGTTCTGCTTGTCAGCACCGCAGGGGTGGGGGCTCTGTGCACAGGAGACCTGTCAGAGCGCCCTGAGTGACTGGCATGTCAGCTGGGACGCCTGAGAGGCGGGAACAAGCCGCCGCGCTCTGCGGCCCGCTCCTTGCTGATCCTCTCTGTCAGCACAGCTCCGTTCGCACCGTCTGTCAGCGAGACTGTTAACGGCTTGCGCTGGTGATTCCTGAAATGCAGTTGGCTTATAAATGCAGAAAGCATACTGTCTACCTATCTGAGAGGTTTTTTAAATCCTCAAATCTTATTTTTTTTAATCATTCCTCTTTGTATGTTTCCTTTCTTTGCTTAGATTTAAAAATAAAGGTCTAAGTCCCCCAACGTTTTATGTGAGAAAAGTAGGTTATTTATTATGAGGATAGATTGATGCATTTTGTAAATCAGTAGTTGTTACAATTTAAATTGAGCTTCATTTATACCACCCCCTTCCATTCAAGTATATTGTACCTGAATTCTTAAACTAAACTAAAACCACTTCATTTCACATTGACTTTCCTGAGCTAACTGCTTTGATCTAATTGCTAGGAAGAGTTCCTTTGTGCAAGATCTGAGACAGTCTTGTGTGTTCCCTACTAAACCAAGAAAAGTCATCCTGAAACCTTCTTAACGAGTAGGCGTAGGCCATCCCCTGGTTCACAGCAGCCCGCGGTTCTTGCTCACTCCGCACTTCACACCAGGGCAAGAGCTCAGTGGGTCGGTGAGTTCCAAGTTACTCTCTCCAAGGCCTTACATATTCCCCTGGCCCGCTCCTGGATGGCAGTCTTCCAGAGCCTGGGCAAGGTAAAGACCACAGCAGAGAGCAAGACTTCCCTTCTGCAGCAGCATCTCAGAGTTCAGAGCTACCGAGATTATAGGGGGACACGCTGCAGTTGCCTGGACTCTGGCTGTCCCCGCCCAGCGGGTGCTCTGTTGCGAACCAGAGCCCGCAGGAGGCCCGGCAAGCCTAGCCTTTCCCGTCGAGAGGGCCATGGTCAGGACCCAGCTCTCACAGAGCCAGGTGTGGGAAGCCCCGTTTGGGTGGCTGCAGCCTTCTGTTTGTCCTTCAGTCCATGCTGGCGTGGAACTCTGAATTCTCGCTTCCAGATCCTTCCGCGCTCGTGCCTGACTGGACACGACGTCCAGGCAAAGCCTCGGGCTGTGCTGTTCAATCCAGGCGCTGGCTTCCTGTTAGCGTCCAGTGACAGCCTGTTATCGCAGCTCCTTACTGCGCAGCTCCTTTTCCCGCCACTGCCTCTCCCTTCTCTCTGGTCCACACCGAAGATAGCGAAGACTTCAGACGCACAGTCAGCTCTTGGTCACTTGTTAAAGAGAAGCGTAGCTGCACCCCTCACTCGCCTTCCGCTAGCTGCTGTGTCTTTGACAAGTAACAGACACTGTCAGTGCGCCAGGCGGCGCCAAGGCGGTGCCTGTCCGTTGCGTTTGAGAAAACCTTCAGCTCTTCCCCAGCGTGAACTGCGGCTTTTCTTCCCGTGGCTGTTCTCCCATGCGTGCTCTGTCAGTGTGTCTTTGTTCCCGTGAGCTTGGTTTGACTGTCCCTCTTCACCTGGCTTTGGGCTGACAAGCTGGTGGTGCCAGGATTCCTTCACTGTCCTTTGGGCTGCGCCCCAGAACCCCGCTTGGCCCCGACCGGACAGCCCGCGTCGGCCCATCCACGCCCTGCGGTCTCAGGCCGCTCTGTGTGTCTGCATGTGTGCTTGTCCAATCTTCTCGACCTTTCCTCAGCCGAAGTTTCGAGAGCTAGATGATTTCTTCCAAGAAAAATAGCCCTTTCGATCTCCCTTGTGAAAGAAAGGCCATCTCTTAAAGAACTGCTGAATAAATTTTTCAATTTACTTTTATTTGACCCAGGCGGATGGCGCTACAAGTGATGACCTTGATTTGCATGATGATCGTCTGTCCTACCTGTCAGCCCCAGGCAGTGAATACTCAATGTATAGCACGGACAGTAGACACACTTCTGACTATGAAGACACAGACACAGAAGGCGGGGCCTACACTGATCAAGAACTAGATGAAACCCTTAACGATGAGGTGGGGACTCCCCCGGAGTCTGCCATTACCCGGTCCTCTGAGCCTGTAAGAGAGGACTCCTCGGGAATGCACCACGAAAGCCAAACATACCCTCCTTACTCACCACAAGCGCAGCCACAGCCCATCCATAGAATAGACTCCCCCGGATTTAAAACAGCCTCTCACCAGGTAAGCAGCAAGCGTCCAGCGTTCTGTAGTTAGAGGTGCGTTACGGAACTTGAGAGCGTGGTTGAGCAAAGAGTATATTTTGTCCTCTCTCCAGATTAAGAATTAATTTTTAATTTTGCATTGAGAAATACCAAGGACTTAATTCTAAACAGCAATATCCTGAGTTTTCTTAAAAATGTAGGACCTAAAGTCATAGTTTCGTCATTCTGCACACTAAAAATGTATGTTTACCAACCACGATTAGTGGAGGTGGGACGTTAGCGGTAAATGGAAACACTATTTAAAATATTTTAAACACTTCACAGAAAGCAGAAGCGTCATCTCCAGTCCCTTACCTTTCGCCTGAAACAAACCCAGCACCATCAACCTCTGCCGTTAATCCTAACGTAAAATTAACTCATGTCAGACTGGAGGAGCCCGCCCCCGCTCCCCCCGCCTCGCACTCACCGCACGCCGGCTCTCTGAGAACGCCGAGCGCCGAGGCGGCTCGCGCAGTGCTAAGGGACCCGGGAGCCGCCCCACCGCCGCACGCAGACCCACCACAGGTACCTGTGCTGCAGCGTCGCTCCCACGCGCCCCCCGCCCGCTGGCCACGGCCACCTCGGCTCCCCTGTTGGCGTCCCCTGGCTGTGTCCCCGTGGGCTGCGCCCCGGAGTGCTTGCCGTCAGCACAGAGCGTCTCCGTTGCGTAGTTTGCATGGCTTCTGGTGGCACACGGATGATTTGGAAACAGGCCTTTTAATTGGGATTTTTGCTTAATATTTTTATTTTTATTTTCGAGTTTTCTGTATCTTCCAGAATTCTTTACTCAATCATCAGTACCCATCGTAGACATTTTTCTGTTTTACAAATTATGGTGTCTTAATTTTCTTTATGATTTTTATTTTCAGTGTCTAAATCAAGGGGAATCAGTGGTTTAGTGCATTAGTTTTCTACTAAACTGAATAATTACCTTTCACTCCCTTTTCATTTAGCTCATGCTAGAACATAGAAGCCCTTACCTGCATTATAAATTTTGAGCTTTCATGTAAACTGGCTTTCTCCACTAATCTCTTTCTGCCCTGGTAATAAATGGTGGGACATACCATTTTTACATATTAAATCATAGTTTTGTCTTCTTAAGTAGACTAGACTTAGAAACAGGCCTGCATACTTACCCACACGTTCGTTACACAGGTGTACAGAAAGGACCCCTATCCAGAGGAAGCGATAAGGCAGAACCACGTCCTGAAGCAGCCAGCGGTTGGTCACCCGGGCCAGCGGCCAGACAAGGAGCCTCACTTGAGCTACGAGCCGCAACCCCAGTACATAGAGAAACAGGCGAGCAGAGACCTCGAGCAGCCCACATACAGATACGACTCCTCAAGCTACGCAGACCAGTTTCCTCGGAACTTTGACCATCGTCTGCGCTTCGAAGAGCGCGTCCCTACGTATGAAGAGCACTGGTCATACTATGACGAGAAACAGCCCTACCAGCCTCGGCCTTCTTTTGATAATCAGCACCCTCGAGACCTGGACTCCAGGCAGCACCCTGAGGAGTCCTCAGAACGAGGGTATTTCCCACGGTTTGAAGAGCCAGGTCCTCTGTCCTATGACAACAGGCCACGCTATGACCAGCCCCCGCGCACCTCCACTCTGCGGCTTGAGGAGCCAGCAGCTCTCGGGTATGACATGCATGGCAGATACAGGCCAGAGGCGCAGCCCTACCCTCCGGCAGGCCCTAAGGCACCTGAGCCCAAGCAGTATTATGACCAGTACCCCCGGAGTTATGAGCAAGTCCCATCACAGGCATTCACCTCCAAAGCAGGCCATTACGAGGCGCTCCATGGCGCCGCGGGGGTCCCCCCTCCGATGCCTGCGGCTCAGCACAAGCCGGAGGTGCCGCCGTCCACTGCCAAACCGCTGCCTCCGCCCCCAGCTCTGACCGAAGAAGAGGAAGACCCGGCCATGAAGCCCCAGTCTGTTCTTACCAGGGTTAAAATGTTCGAAAACAAAAGATCCCAATCCCTGGAGAACAGGAAGGATGAAAACCACACGGCCACCTTTAAGGTAATGTGTAACTGGGTCTTCCCTGCCTGGGACGCCTGGGCACGTTCAGTGATGAGCAGTTCTAAATGCTTCCTGCAGCCTGCTTTGTAATGGTCCCCCTCTGCGGTGTGTGTGTCTTATTTCTGCAGCCTCCAGAGGCAGCCTCTAAACCTCCCGGGGCTTCCATTCTCGGCCCTAAAGCCACTGCTCAGAGCCAGTTCAGTGACCACGACAAGACGCTGTACAGGTGGGTACCTCTGTGGTGTGTGTGGGATGGGACCGGCCAGGGAGTGGACCCTCAGTCAGTGAACAAGCCTCTCGGGGTGTCCGTGCGGGAGAGGCAGGAGGAGGGGGACCCCTGCTCGTCCTCGAATGAAAACCGCCGGCCTTTCCACTGGAACAGGGGCCCTGGAAAGAGAAACGAAGGTCTGTGCTACGCCTCTAGGACAGGTCTTTGTCGTGGCTTCAGGAAACTAGTATGCTGAAAATACATTTTTCTAATAGATGATCCAAATAAAAATTTGAAAGTCCTAACTTTCGCATTACGTTTTTTAGTTTTAAAAGTGCTTTCATGCTTGCAGACTCTTAGTTTTGAGAGGTCAGGAAACAGCCCTGATTGGCTAAAGGAATACATTCGTTGTTCAGTGAGCATGTGCCACGGACTTGCCGTCAGCAGGAGGGGCCAGGCGGGGGGAGGCCTGGCCTGCTGTGCTCCCACCCTGCCCCTCAGCGCTGCTGCCCAGGCACAGGCTGGATGTGCAGACAGGCGCCGCTTCGCTTGTGTTTACATGCTGACGTTTGTGCTTGTAAGAAGAAGGAACTAACGTAGTCCTAGCTCTTTTTTTTTTTTTTTTTTTTTTTTTTTTGATAATGCGTAGTGCTTTTCATGAAAATGTGAACTGCTGTGGTGTCTCTGTAGGCCGCTCCCATTATGAGCTGTGTCGCATAAAATAAACTGTAAGAACTGAAGCTTAGTCCTTTTTCTCGGTGTAAAACATAGTTCATTCCTTTCTAAAATGTACTTCACAGAGAACGTAAACAACAGTGTATTAATTTGTTTAATGTTCTTTCTTCCTCCTCTGCTTCCTGTGCCCTCTTGAACTGTGGACTTTACAAAGCTATTTCCTTATATGAGGATCATTTCTTGATCCTGGATTAAAGTTCTTGAAAGTCTTTTTTAAGAAGTTGTTAAAACCTCTTGATTATTACTCGCTGCTGCCACTGGTATATGTACTTGGAGGAGTTCTCCACTGGGTTGATTCCACATCCTTTTCTCTTTCTGATCAACTTTTTAACTTGCCAGGAGGCCTCTAACCAGATAATTACTCAGCTTAATAAATTGTGGCCACTAACTCCTGGGCTGGAAGAGGGTGGGCTGCCCTTTCAGTGTAGTGTGTGGAGACGGAGCTAAAGTGTCCCTGTCCACTGTCGCGCTGTCTGGCTGGGTCCTGAGCAGTCACAGCAGCTGTTGGGGGTGGGGGGGTGGGACGGGGATGGCTCGACATAAACGATTCATAGACTCTACTTTCCTTGTGAAACCGACACCAAAAAAGCTGTTCCATTTGCCATTCATTGTCAGGATCCCAGAACCTCAAAAACCTCAGCCGAAGCCCCCTGAAGATATTGTTCGGTCAAATCATTATGATCCCGAGGAAGATGAAGAATATTATCGAAAACAGCTCTCCTACTTTGATCGGAGAAGCTTTGACAGCAAGCCTCCGGCGCACCTCCCTGCCGGCCACCTCTCAGAGCCGGCCAAGCCGGTTCCTCCTCCGCATCAGCCAAACCTGTCTAGTTATCCTTTGAAGTAAGTTACTTCTCCTAACACTTAACCTTTTGAAATTAAGATGACACACAAAGGTTTGATTGAGTAAAGTGGAGTTAATTTTACGAAGCAGCATATCTTGAAGGAAATAGTGAAGTGTGTCTTACATGCTTTCTGTAGACTCTGGTGGGTTAGCACTGGGCATACTTTCTAGCTCTAGCGTGTGTTTGGATTTTGTTCTTAAGCTCTGATAGCAGGTGTAGCAAATTTCTTCATGAGGAAAAAGATGGTAAAACCAGGGGCGAGAAAGAACAAACTGTGAAGACCCTGATTTTTAGGTCTTTCTCTCTTCTGTGCAGCACAGGTAATGCTGGCTCTTTTTTTTTATCTTTTTTTTTTTTATCTTTTTTTTTTTTAATAAAAGCAGGGATGTGTTGGGGCCACATTGTTGGAGGGAAGAAAATAGAGTTGGTTTTTTCAAGACGAGATAGAACTTGCCTTTTTTTATTATTGGATCTTAGGGACACTTTAGAGATTTCTTGTCCAGTTTTATGCACAAGGTAATAAGTAGGCTCCTGTGAGGTGACGTGACGAGCAGAACTAGCACTGAACCCCAAGCTTTTGACTCCTGTCGTCTTTGTCCTCTTCTGTGCTGCTCCCTTGTTGACTTGTTTCTTGGGTTTTGGTCGGTTTCTCTCTCCCGTGGGTTTCGTTGGGGCACAGGCGCATGTGTGCCTGTGTGGGTTCCTGTCTGTGCTGCTTCTCTCTCTCTCTCTGGTGGACCCTGAGTGACAGAAAACTTGGTGCTGAGGGCGGAGGGTGACCCACAGAGGCGCAGGTGGGTTCACGCGTCCACAGAACCAGCCCTCAAGAACGGAGGGCAGCGTGGGCTTAGGATGAGGAATGAGCGTCCGGTGCTGGGACAGTCCCTGGGGCCAGAGCAGGAGGTGGGGCTGCTGGCAGGTGTCTGAGTGCAGGGACGCCGAGTTCTCCTTGGAGGAGCCCATCCCCTTAATTAACCTGAAACTCAGCTGATTAGGCCTTACGTCTGGAAATTCTCTCCCCGGTGGCGCCTGCATTAGTGTTTGAATAACTGTGACTGTAGTTCAGCTGAGCCAAGGGGACACACCAAAAAGCCATCTCAAGCACTTCTCTCGAAGACATCCTTTGAGGTGAAGATTTAAAAAACCTTTTTTTGCATTGTCATCCATTTAAATCTTCATCCACCGAGAAAGCAGTTCATAGCAAACGCAAATGCAGCCTCGGAGGGCTGAGCTTCCGCTCCGTGCAGACGGGGCCTTAGGCTGGTGTGGGAGCCTCCCCGATGCCGCACTAGAGGAGCGCCCCGGTCTGGTCCCGCGGTTCCCGGGCACGCAGACTGTGGAGCCCAGCTCGGCGCTGAGCCTCTGAGGCTCCCCTTCTGTAAGGCAGGGGGCGCACCCTCTGTAACCATTTTGACTTGTCATTCAATACATCCATTCCTGTCAGAAGGGGTCCAGGGGTGGAGTTCAAGGAGAGAGATTTTATTTATCCTTTACTTAGTAAATAAAACACACCCTTAAAAAAATACATTTAGGTCTAAAAAGGCTTGCCAGAGAATCAATTAGCAAGGCATTTTTGGCTGTGTGTTCATCTGGTTTTCCGGGAAGCCTTAACGGAATTTGTGGTGGCTGACTGAGGCCGGTGTTGAGTGGCTGGGGCTCGGCAACAGCTGGCTGAGCGTAGGCAGCTCAGCCCGGGGGGCGGGGCCCCAGCACGCAAACCGCCCAGCTCTTCGGGAGCGGAAGCTCCGCACAGGGGATCTGACGTTAGTCAGGCTTCCGGGATAAAGTGATGGACACGAGTATAAGCCTCCTTCCTCTCCCTAACTGTGTTGCGTGTTCCCACACCAGCATTTACTGCAAAGGGAATCGGAAAGCAGGCTGAGGGTCACAGAGGGGGTTTCTCTGCTTTCCTTGCTGCTCTCTTGCCAGTTAATGCAACTTGAACAATTGGAGAATAGTTTCTACGGGATCCTCTTTGTCCTGCATTTCAAAACTATTTACTGTTTGTGATCAACAGGTTGCCTACGGGCCTTTATTTCCTAAAGTAAAATAACAAAGCTGTATTCTTCTGGACAACATACACTTATGTCCCTCTTAAAAACACACCCCCCATGGTGGGAACTCAAGAGGGGAGAAGCCTCTGCTGGTGCAGGACAGGCGCCCTAAAGTGCACGCAGGAGCTGCCCTGCCTTGCAGTTTGGAGAGCCGGCCTGCACGTGGGAAGGTGGAACAAGCATATCGCAAAGGCAGAGAGAAACCCCCAGGAGCCCAAGCCAGGCCTGTGCAGACGCGCCAGCCCAGAGGCGGCGGCGGCGTCGTCTCCCGGGCAGCCAGGGGGTGCTGGCGCTAGAACCCGACTCTCTCAAGAGCCAAGTTGTGTGGGACTTCCAGGGCTTCAAACACTCGGTGGTTTTCAGCTTTTTAGGAACTAAGTGTAAGGTTGCTGTAGGGTGGTTTTTGTGTGCGCTTGACATAGGAAGAAAGAAGCTGTGAGACTCAAGAGTGGCAGCTTTGCACACAGGTTCCACCCGCCTTTAGAACTAGGGGTGGGTCTGATCTTGCTAGACAGGAGCACATACATGGGAACTATAGTATATTTCAAACAGGATGCACATTCCTGTTTGCCCATTTCTCCTTTTCCTGCTAGGGGATCAGTGCTCTTGTCTTCCTGCTGATGTCGTCTTGTGTTTTCACCTCGAGGATTTCTTTTGCCCAGCCTTCATTTTTTTTTTTAAGATTTCCTTTATTTTTAGAGAGAGGGGAAGAGAGAGAGAAATAGCAACATGCGAGAGATATATTGATCCGTTGCCTCTTGCACACCCCCTGGTAGGCACCTGGCCTCCAACCCGGGCATGTGCCCTGACTGGGAATTGAACTGGCGACCTCTTGGTCCACAGGCTGGGCTCAGTCCACTGAGCCACACCAGCCAGGGCAGCCCTTTACTTTTAACGGAGCATCTCATTTTCACTCGCTCAGAACCCTCCGACTATTCTGAGTACTGTTCATTTACTAGCCTCATTTCTTGGTCACCACTGGTTGTTACAACAGCAGTGGGCAGAGGTGGCAGCAGGATAAAGCCCAGACGGGTCACTACCCACTAACAATGCCATCTAGACCGCGTGGCGGGTGGCGGGGAGGCAGGACCCACACTACTGTGGTTGAATTTACTGGCCGTTTCTCAGCTGAATGAGAGTGAGTGATGGTTTTTTTATAGATCAAGTTATTTTGAAATGGTGGGTGCTTGTCTTTTGGTTGATATTTTAAAATGATATTTGAGATGTATTTGCTGCAAATTAGTTAGAATGACCATTTTCTTTCATTTTTCTGTTGCGTTTGCTTTGCCATCACGTAGATTTCTTGGCTCTTACACTAGCTATGACTACTTGAAAAGGAGCGTCAAGTGGTAAGACTGGCTTTCATGTGAGCCTGTTACATGAGGCGTCCCTCACCGTGTCACTGGCATTATGTGCACTTCCACATTTGAACGTCATCTCCAAAAACTCAGTCTGAATGCGGACAGTGAGATAACAGCCTAGTTTCAAAGCTAACGACAAAGCTGACTTCTTCAGCAGAGGTCTCCTGTGCGAGTCGACACGTCCGTGTCCCCGTTCGTGCACATAAAGCCAGTGTGGCCCGGCTCTCTGCAGAGGGCTGGATGGCAGTGTTGCAGTTATGGGGCGCTCTCCCAGGGTTCCTGTGTGTGAACTTTATGTCACGTGTGAACAGAACTGGCAGTCTGAGAAAATAAGCATGCACGGCCCAATTGGACTTAAATGAGCCTTGGAAAACGAAGCAACATCTGCTCCTCTGGCTGTGGTTAACGAGAATGGACCTGGTGAATCCAGGGCACACTGTAAAGTAAACGATGCCCGTTCGTTGTGGTGCGGGGCACAGCCACACGCCTTCGTTCCCACGCTGTTCCTGGCCGCTCTCGGGCAGAGTTTCAGTAGTTGTGGCTGAGACCTGGTGGCCCAAGAGCCAAAACCATTGACTTCCCAGCCCCTTTACTAGAGGTGCTGGCCAACCCTGTCCAACATCACGTCTGCGGCGCTCTGAGAGCGCCTTAGAGACGGAATCAGAGGTGAATCTAAGGACGATTGGGGCCTACAAGTATTTTTCAGTGTTTGCAAGACTTTCTTAAATTGTGAACAACGCAGTGAACTGTCACAAGTGTACCCAGAATTTCATCTGCCTCTCGGTTGCCATCTTCCGGATGTTTTGCTGATATTCTCAAAGTATCTGTGCTGTCTCTACATCTCTCGTGTTGATGAATGGTTGAATTTGTTTGCCTCTTTTGGTAGAGTAACTACACATACTCATAAGAATAAGTTGTGAAATTTCTGGATTTAAGAAAATGAACTTAGAGATACTTACAGAAGGAGAATGTGCTTTGTCTGTGGAGGTCCGTTTTCAGCTGTTGGCCTTGTCTTCGTTTTTTCACAGGGGCAAGTCTGCCGAGGCAGATGCTGTGGATAGACCCTTCAGTGAAAAGCGCTACGACCCCGGCCAGGCCACGCCCCCGCCGCCCCCGCTGCCCTCGCAGTACTCGCAGCCTCCCCAGCCGGCCACCAGCGCCTTGCTCCACACGCACGCCAAGGGTGCCCATGGGGAAGGTAGGACCCTCGGATTGGCGTTATCTCGATCACAGAGTGATGCTTACAAACTTAAGTTCTTCTCATTTCTAAGCAAAATGGTTGTTCATGTAAGATGTAATATATAAAACCTTCAGTCTGGGAACAATGAAAACTTAAGGATTTCGCTGAAAGTATATCACCTGCTTTTATGACTGTGACCATTATATTGGACAAGGCTTTTGCTAAATAGACTTTACTCTTTTAGTGATGTAGCTTGGTTTCTGGAAGTAGTATCTGTTTACCAGTATGTCTGATCTGAATACATGAATGGTGGTTGTAAAAATTACTGTTATCTTCCCTCTTCACACATGACGCAGGAAAGATGTGAAGTTTCACCTAATGTATCCCTTAGCACCTTGCCTTTTGCATTTATGTTCTGTAGAAAAATCTCAACAAGGTGGGAAGCGTAGCCCCAGTTTGTTCATTATAATAGCTGTGATGCCGCATGCTGGCCCGCGTTCTCTCCTTCCCGTACCTCTCTCTGAGCACTAGCTGAGTCCCTTGTCCACGCGGACCCTCCTCCTGGGCCAGGGGCCCAGCTCCTCTCCCTCCCTCCTGCTTCCCTCACCCATCTCTCAGTCTCTTCCACCGGTGTCCCCCTTCCACAGGATCCCCCCCTGCCCCCCTGCCTTCAGACACACATGGGCCCCCGGCTCCGTCGCTAACCCCTTGTTCTGACCTGCTGCCTATCTACCTACCTCCATATCTCTCTGCCTTTCATCAGACTCCCCGAAGAGGAAACTTCCCTCTCCCTCCCGACAGCGCTTTTTCTTTTTTAGTCCTTTGTCTCCACAGCCCGCCCCCCCAAAATAAATAAGCTAAATTTTACCCTCAGAATATACCACAATTTATGCTTCTGTTGACATTTTGCTACTACAATACAAATAGTACTTCTGTTATTTATGTAGGAGTCAGATTCCAGGCTGAGTCTCAACCAGATGAGCTGTAGTTGTAGATTTACGTAACTTCACGTAAGGACTTTCTTTACACACTGTCACGTCTGCAGATGAAGTTTCAATTCTTTCTTTCTAGTGCTTATGCTTTTTCTTTCTTGCTTGCTTTTTTGCACTGGCAGGGACCTCCACTAAAATGTTGAGTAGAAGTGATGAAAGCAGACATCTTTGCTGCTTTCTCGTCTCAGGGAAAAAGGATTTACTGTTTTACCCCCATGACATCAGCCATAGGTTTTCTGTGGTGTTTTCATAGCTCCCTTTTATTTTGTTTAGGACGTTCCCTTCTAGTCCTGATTTGCTGAAATCGTTTTGTGAAATGCTTTTTCTTCATGTATTAAGAGGCTCTTAAGATTGTTCCTCTTTATTCTGTTAATGGAGTAAATTATTTTATGGTGCTCACAAAGAATTTGGGTTCATAATTTTCTTTTGTCTTAATGTCCTTGCCTTGGCTTTGGTATCAGGCTGTGCTGGTTCCATAAGAGAGAGCAGGGACGTGTTCCCGCTTTCTCCCTTTGCTGAAGGAGCTTGTAGAGCGGCAATAGTACTTTCTCTTTAATCAGTTCCTGGAATCCAGTTGGGCCTGTTCACACTGCACCAGCAGCTGGTGGAAATTCCTGCTGCTCTGCATCTTGCTGGTGCTGGCCATCACCAGACTTCAGCTTTGCTAATCTAAGGGCTGTGAAATGGTATTTCATGTTTTTCGTTTGGGATTTGCATTTTCCTAATTCATAGTAAGGTGGAGCATCTTCCTGCGTGGTTGCCAGGCTTTCTCGTCTTCACCTCCATTCAGGTCCTCACCCACCTTCTTGTCAGGCTGGGCCTTCCTTGTGGATGTGGAGGGATTCTTCATGGGCTTGGGGTCCTAATTCTTTTATTAGTTGGTTGTATGTTGTTAATAGCTTCTCTCAAACTGTGGCTTTTTATATTACTTTAATTATGGGGAGTTTTCAGTGCTGTTTTGTTTTTGTTTTTCACAAAGCTGAAGTTTTCATTCTGTTTTGCATTTGTCATGCATGTTGGGTGTTGCTCAGAAGCCAGTCTCTGGAGGCCAAGACCCTTAGCAGTGTGGCCCTGTCTCGAGGGCAGCAGGCTGTGTACACAGCGCCATGTGTCCGTGCCACCTCTTGGGCCCTCAGCGTCACCACGGCCACCAGTGCCCATAAGCCGCCCTGGGACTATGGCGGCCTGCAACTCTAAGCCTTGACTCCCGCACCAGGGCAAGCCCAGATGAGGGAGATGTCACAGGGGCTGTAAAGCTTCCTTTTAAGAAGTTCTAAAAAGGCTTGTATGTTTTTTTTTCCAGGTAATTTAGTGTCATTGGATTTTCAGAATTCTTTAGTGTCCAAACCAGAGCCACCTCCATCTCAGAATAAGCCAGCAACTTTCAGACAACCGACCCGAGAGGATCCCGCTCAGTCCACTTTCTACCCCCAGAAAAATTTCCCAGAGAAAGCGCCGGTGAATGGAACCGAACAGACTCAGAAAACAGTTGCCGCAACATACAACCGATTCACCCCAAAACCATACACAAGCTCTGCGCGGCCATTTGAGCGCAAGTTTGAAAGTCCTAAATTCAGTCACAACCTTCTGCCAAGTGAAACTGCGCACAAGCCTGACTTGTCTTCAAAAGTCCCTACTTCTCCAAAAATCCTCGTGAAAGCACACAGCTCAGCGCAGCCTCCGGAGTTCGACAGTGGAGTCGAGACGTTCTCCCTCCACGCCGATAAACCTAAGTATCAGATGAATAATATCATCAGCTCGGTGCCGAAAGCTGTTCCTGTGAGGTAAGGGTTCGGCCTTGTCCTGGGCCTTGCGCTTTGTCTGACTTGATTCTGATGTGGTTTACCTGACTTTGGGTTTGATGTGATCGTTTTGACTCAAACTTTAAACCGAACACTGTTGACCGAAGTGTTGCTGTGAATGTCGACATGTAGAAGGTCCTGCAAGACGTCTCAGACAACGTCGGTGAAATGAAGCAAACAGTTGTGTGGTCAGTGGGTATTGTCATTAGCCCCATTTTACCAAGAACGGAGGCTGAGTGACATGGCAGTTTGCCCAAGGTCACACAGCTGGGCCGCCGGGAGCCTAGGTCCAGGTCCTGGTCATCTGACCCTAACCCTTACTCTTAACACCCGTGGCCTCCCGTGGCCTGCGACCTCAAAAACATAAGCATCTGTGCTCCTTGTCCACTCTCTGTTCAGCAGTGATGTTAAAAAGAAGTAAAGGTGTAATAGGCTCAAAATGGTTACAAAGCAATGGCAGCTGTTTTTAAAGTTTTAGAGAGTCGGCTGTCTGAGCAGACGAGGGGGGCCCGCGAGGAGCCGCACCCCGGGACTCCCCTCTGCGCCATCCCCCGTGGTGGTGGTCACCGGGCCCGGCTGACCCCCGCAGGGGGGACCCGCGGCCTGCTCCCCAGGCTGGGACAGTCATGGGTATGGTGCCTCCCTCCTGGGGGGGGACGGGGACAAGCGCTGCCTCAGGTGTGGGCGCCTTCCCCGACGCCCCGGCGGTGCAGGATTGGAGCTGCCCTCTTCGCACACCTCGATCTTGTCGGTCCGCCTTCAGCTCACCTTGAGGTCCTGGCTCACAGTTCTATTTGTGCGAATCACGATAGTACCAATGATACCACATCCCTCCTGCGCCCAGTGTTCTTCGTTTATGTGCTCTTTGCCGTGGGTGCTTGATCCTGATCACTTGTGGAAGCGGGGCGACCTTGCCTTTGACAGCAAGGGCGCATGGGACACGGGTGCTGAGGCGAGGCCGCGGTGTGCGCACGTCAAGTCCTGGGGAGACAGAGCACCTAATCAGTACATTCTATCAGGCCTAAGAAGCCGTCCGTTGTAAGGTGTGCTACTCGTGTGTCACTAAGTAGGAAAAATGATGCTACTGATTCAACCATGACTTGCTGTCAGGTTTAAAACGCCAGTTGTATGGACGTTAAAGTGTGCTGCTTAATACCCGTGCACTACAGCGGCTGGGTGAGCACGGTATCGGGCTTCGTACATTCTGGCTGCGGAACCCCAGTAACGTGGTGATTATGTGGAGAAAGAAAAATAAAATGACACCGCCGATCACAGCAGTCATGGAAGCGCCTGTGTCGTGCTGGGAATTTGCTCATGAGCCGTTTCTGAACCCACAGCCCTTCAGCGGTGGAAGAAGATGATGACGAGGACGGCCACACGGTGGTGGCCACAGCTCGAGGCGTGTTCAACAGCAACGGCGGGGTACTGAGCTCCATAGAGACTGGCGTTAGCATAATCATCCCGCAGGGAGCCATTCCGGAGGGAGTGGAGCAGGAGATCTATTTCAAGGTCTGCCGGGACAACAGCATCCTGCCGCCTCTAGATAAGGAGAAAGGTACCGGTGTCTGTCTCCGCTTTGTTTTTGTAACTTGGGTGGCCTGTGAGTTCTGCTGGGGCTCAGCTGAGAGGGTCATTTAGGCCCCTTTTCTGCCTCCCTGCTGGCCACGCAGAGCACGTTCCTCTCAGCAGAGGGGCCTCGCCGCAGGGCACTGTGCGGGGAGCGCCCAGTGGTGTCACGGGCACGTGGTGGGGGTCCTGCAGGAAGGCTGGGGCAGTGGAGGTGAGCTCGCTGGACCTTCCCCATGGCGTACGTCACATGGTGTGTGAGAGTGGCAGGGAACGGGCCCTTGAGCGTCCCTCCTCCTGCCTGCTGGGCAGTCCTACCCGGCCTCCCCAATCCTTCCCTCTCTTTAGAGATGGGCCAGGTGACACCCGCAGAGTCAGGCCTTGCTCCGTGCCTGTCACCTGCCTGTGGACTGTATGTCCCTCGGGGCAGGTCTGACTCACCACCCCAGACCCAGCGCTAGTGAACACTCAGCAGGGGAGTGAAGGGCCCCCTCGGGCACGGCAGCCCCTGCTTCGGAGCCCCTTACAGAGCCTGGATGCCGGGGCCTTCCCTGCCCACCCGGACCTGTCAGGATGACGTGATGGCCCGTGCTGCGACTTCCTTTAGAATCTTCGAGCGGTGCTTCCTGCTGTACTTCAGCTCACTTGCTCACGTTTTGCCAGAATACTAATAACGTATGTGGGCCCTGGATGAACCCCTTAAACCAAATCTGTAGCGTTAAAAGCACAAGATGTCAGTAGTGTATAAAAAGTGCACCTGACTGCACTGTATGCCTTCAAACCCTGTGATCACATGCAGGTGCCACCAGCTCTGTGGCTACTTGAAATGTGGCTGTTTTGAATTAATGTGTGCTGCAGGGGTCACATACCCAGGTTTCAGAGATGAAGGGTATCGATGATGACATGTCAACATGATTTGGGGATAGAGTGGGTTAAAGTGGCTACTAGGAAATTTAAAATGATGCGTGTGGCTCCCGTCACGTGTTTCGGAGTCAGCGCAGCTGTGGAGCGCTCGCCGCGCTTGGCGTTAACGTGCACCACTAGAGCGGTGAGCAGGACCGCCCTCTAACCCCCCCTCCCCGCTTCCAGGTGAGACCCTGCTGAGCCCGTTGGTGATGTGTGGGCCCCACGGCCTCAAGTTCCTGAAGCCTGTGGAGCTGCGCCTGCCACACTGTGCGTCCATGACTCCTGACGGTTGGTCTTTTGCTCTAAAATCATCCGACTCCTCGTCGGGTATGCTGTCTTCTCTCTGTCCTTTGGGGCTCTGGGTGCTGTCGTTGATGAGTCCCTGGGCTGATGGGGCTCCCCGTGCTGGTGGCAGCCCTCCACCTCTGTCCCTGTGGCCTCGGGGGCCCCGAGGTGTGCAGACTGCGTCCTCTGTGCGGCATGTGCGCGTGAGCTGAGTGGATGGGGGTGGTGCGGGCGTGTCTGCCCGTGTCTGCCCGTGTCTGCCCGTGTCTGCCTCTGGAACGTGGTGGTTTGCCTGCAGGTTGACTGTCGGTCCTCCACAAAATTATTTCTTCTGTCAAAATTGTGATGAAATGGGAAAACTGATCCTGGCCTATACTTAGAGGCATTTTCACCTTCTTACTGAAATGATTTGATTCCTATATGTAATTTCTGTTTTGGTTACTATTCTTTAATTTTTCAGTCTGTGTATACCAGGGCAGTTTGAAAGACAGAAGACCTTCTGCTGTGCTTGTACCTGGCCCTGGTTTTTCAGTGTCAAATTCTAAATCACTTCTGTTATACACACACTTTTTAAGTGGCTTTTGTTCTTCAGATCATAATTTCTAAGCTTCCAGTGCATTTTCACATTTACCATTCCTTTCGGTGACTGAGTCAAGTTACTAGTTGGAAGTCTGTGTACTATTGATATAGCTCACTTTAATTGAACCTGATACAGAAAAATAAGAACTTATAATCCCGCTTGTGAATTTTTGGTAAATCAGGTGAGCATTACGCAGTGTTAGCGTGGGGCGATAGGAAATAGAATTTAATAGTATAAAGATTAAAGGAGGATATTTTAATACTATACAAGACCAGAAATTATAAATATATATTTCACAAGTAACCCCATTTTCTGGAAAAAGTTAATAAATTAATTTTAACACATTTGGTAGAAAAGCTATTTCCTCAGGGACTCCACTGAGAAATATTTTATTAATTAATATTAATTAAATATAATTTATTATATTAATAATTAAATGGCATTTAAAACATATTCTGAAGGTCGGGTTGTAGCATGAGCTCTGATTGTCCTCCAAACCGAATTAGGATGAGAGTCCTTAAAATAACTGTCAATGGCAGTTAAGTTACTTGTTTATAAGTGATTTTTTTTAGGTATTATATGAAATATGTGATTTCTCCATTTGGTATTCCAGTGTTTTCTGCTACAAAATGTAAGTTATTTTATTAGATTAACACAGGAAGAGGTTAAGATTTGAGCACATTCACCTAGAAGAGGAGTGTACCTTTATGAAATGTTACACGGCTGTAGAAGTCTGCTGCTATAAATTCTGCTCACGAAGTCAAGGATAGGTTTTGATAACTACTAACTTAATCCCAGTAAAAATTAGACTGGTAGAAAACTTGAGCCTACAGATAAGGCTTTTTAATTTACTTCCAAAGAGCCGTTAAAACCCCAGCTCATTGCCTAAAGAGCTCGCCCTCTGCAGCATTGTGGAAGCCCATGTATACCTGGGAAGCGAGCCCCTCAGAACTCTGGCCCAGCGCTGAGCAAGGCACGACTCAGCTGTCGCTCAGGTGGCGTGCAGCCTGCGGGAGGCAGGCTTCTTGCCCACGGCCCTGGCGGCACTTTGACCGGAGAGTTCTTTGTTGCACAGATTGTCCTGTGCATCGTGCAATGTGGAGAGGCCTCCCTGGCCCGCACCCACCAGCTGCCAGCTGTGGCAGGTAGAATCTGAGAGCTGATGCTCTTAGGGAAGCAGAAGGGAGCCGCTTTGAATGTCACTTATCTTAGAAACCAGCAACACGCAGCCAGCCCCGCCTTCCCCATAGGCAGTGTCCCCTCCCCGGGGCTCTGAGCTGTAGCGGCGAGTGTCAGACCACTGGCGTCGCCAGCACCCGGGCCCTGCCGCAGACTCACAGAGCCGGCCTTGTCCTCGCGCAGCCCCACGCGGGGGCTGGCTGCCAGGGTCAGGGCTGAGGAGCTGTGCTCCGCACTTAAGATTTCTTTTTTTTTTAAATTTTTTTGAAAGAGGATCTTTCATTTGTTGGTTTGTAGTTGAGTATGAGAAATGTGTTCTCATACTCAGCTGAAATGGGCGATCATGTAATTATTGTTCAGCTTTGAAAGTGAAAGAAGGATGTTGTCAATCACGAGGTGGACTTGGGCAAACTGGGATCGTCCCGGCCTGTGGGCCCACCCTTTCTTTTCTCCATCTTTTCTAAGAGCATGAACGTGAGCATTTACTGAAAGAGAAACCTGAAATAGTTTTGAATCCTTCGATTCCAGTGGGTCTCCATTGAAATACAGCACTTAGGAGTTCTGTTTTTGTTGGTTTTTTTTTATTAAGTATAGTTGTACACAATATTTATATTAGTTATAATAGCTTTCAGGTTACAATATAGCGATTTGACATTTTTATGCCTTACCATGTGAGCACCCCTTAATTCTAGTCACCATCTAGCGCTTAGAGTTTGTGTATAAGTGCAACCCGATGAAGAAATAGAAGAAAATTGTGTCTAAATATATGTGTGTATCTTTGCTCCATGATTACAAAGCATTATAACCAGCAACTACAAATGACATGAACTTCTTTTTCTCTCACAGGTGACCCTAAAACCTGGCAAAACAAGTGTCTTCCTGGAGACCCAAATTACCTTGTTGGAGCAAACTGTGTCTCTGTCCTGATTGACCACTTTTAATTCTTAAACTTATAGGAACTTGATGAAATAATGTGAACCTGGGTTAAACTTACTAAATCTAAATGGAACCACTGTATCAAGTATTCTACTTTCCTTAGACCCGCACCTGCAGTTTGTTAGCATTAAGCGTTTTGTCTGAACCGAGGACGATGGGGGGCACTCCTGAGCCGTGGGCCGGACAGCGCGCCGCCAGCTGCGTGTTTGTGCCGGAAGGACTGTGGGCACGGGCACGAGGTTCAAAGGCGTTTTGCTTTGTAATGATTCTTGTACTTTTTACGGTCACTGCTTAACTTCACATAATGATTTCCGTTAAAATACCAGCCAGGAAAGGGGGTGCATTTGAGTTCTGTTTTTTCCAAAGTACACTGCTTCCCACTTCATCGTGGCCCTGGCCTGGCGGACACACTCTATTTTATTATGCATGAGGTAATATGCACACATTTTTAAAAGCACCTGGAATATATAACCAGTGTAGTGGATTTAACAGAAATGTACAGCAGGGGGATTTATAGCTTTGGGGTGGGGTGGGGGGGTCAAGTGAAGACAATTACTGATTGTACGTGAAAACACATTTTTCCTAGGGAAGGACACCAAAGCATGGGACTGACTCCGTGGCCTCTCTGGATCTCTATAAATTAACCGTATCACCAGACATACTAACCAGCAGGAATGCCTTACCCTCCTGTTTTTAATTCTTAAGTCGTTCTCTTTATGTATTACTAAGTTTTTATGGCTTTTGTGCGTATCCAGATACCGAATCATGAAACAGGTTGAGCAAATTGTGGATTTGATGGTTTCAGAAATGTGTGATCACCCAGACGAAAATAATGGTGTGATTTAGGAATTTTTTTTTTTTCTTTTGGCAAGGGGCAGTTGTGGTTTTGGTTTTTCTTTTTTGTTTTTGTTTTTGTTTTTGTTTTTTTTGGCTACGCATTGGAACATTTTGATGTTTTAAGGATGCTTGTACATAATGCGTGCATACCACTTTTGTTCTTGGTTTGTAAATTAACTTTTATAAACTCTACCCTTTTTATACATAAACAAAACCAAGTTTCTTAAGGCTACCTTTGTATTCTCTCCTGTACCTCTTGAGCCTTGAACTTTGACCTCTGCAGCAATAAAGCAGCATTTTTATGACACACACAAGGTCATTTTTTTAAGAAAAAGAATGCACAGAGTTGTTACATTTTTAAGTGCTGCATTTAAAAGATACAGCTACTCAGAATTCTCTAGTTTGATTAAATTCTTGCAAAATATCCCTACTGTAATTTGTGATACAATGCTGTGCCCGAAAGTGTATTTTTTTACTAATAGACAATTTATTATGGCACATCAGCACGACTTCTGTTTGGATACTACACCACTACATTCTGTTAATCATTAGGTGTGACTGAATTTCTTTTGCGGTTATTAAAAAAAAAAAATCTCAAATTTCTAAATCTGCAGAATAAAACTTTTTAAAATAAAGTGCTGGTTTGGTCTGTTCGCCCACTGCTTCTAGTTTTGTGCGACTCTCTAAGCCTGTCTCCAAATCCTGCCCACGGCAGGCCTGGTGGGGCCTGTGCGGGGTGTGTGCACGGGCCGGTGCGTCCTGTTGCGGGGGGTGGGGCCGGGCACCGCCAGCTGGCCGCGGGGCGCGAGGAGAGGCGCGTGGACTGGAGAAGTCTGCCCACGGCCTCCGTAGCTGTGCACGCATTGGTGTGTGGGGGTGTGGGTCTGTTCCTTAGAACCGGTTTGTGTATAGTTTTGTATCTTGCTCTTGCTTTAGAGTATAACATGGGCAATTTCTCTTTGGGGAGAAGAACGTGATTTTTAATGGCTATAACTCCTCCATCATGGTGCCACATTTACCTACCACCCGCCCATTGACATTGCTGTAAGGTCACCGTAGGTGAGTATATTTTGTTCCATTTTATGAAGGTACTAATACACATACTGTAACCACATCAGTGTCCCTATTCCCTAGCTGGGGACCTTCAGGGTCCTTCCCAGGTTTTGAAGATCATGAAAAAAGCTGCTGTAAACATTCCCATACAAGCTCCTGTGTGAACCTACCTTGTCGTTGCACCTGATAAACCCCTAAGAGTGGAATCACTGGTCCGGATGGTGAGTAGTTGGTGACTTTGTAGAGAACCGCTGCCTATTTCCCAGGGTTCCTTCCTCCACTTGGCAGCTCTTAGGGGTCCGGTGCCCCCGGGCAGCTGCCCCCATCAGTGTCTCACTCTTGCCGCCCTGCGGGCTCCTCGTGGTTGTGATTTGCATCTTCCTAATGGCGTGCGTTGTTCAGCATCTCCTCACTTCCTTGCCATCCCTATCATCCTTGGTGTTCAAGTCATTTCTCATTTTGACAGTTGGCTTTTCTTACTGTTTGGACAGTCATTTCGTATAATCGGGTCCATTGTCAGGTAAGTGATTTGCAGAGGTTTCTCTCTGTCCATTTTCTGAATAGCGCCTTTCGAAGCACGTGTGTGGTAACTTCTAATGAAACTCGGTGCCCAAGTAGCCAGAAAACTCCTTGGTCCAGCCATTCTGGGTAACTGGAATTTCCCTTATGATCTGATATTTTAAGAAGAAGAAAAAATACATCATTTTTCTTAAATTTTTCTTCCTTGAACCTTGTGGGATCAATGAGCCCTTTGAAAAGCTGGTGACTGACTGCCTCTGAAAGGCAAGACCTTAAGAAGTTGCGGATGCCGTTCAGGGGCTGTGCCGTGGGCGGGATTCAAGGAAGGCGGTCTTCCCTGGGACACCAGGCGCAGCCCATGAAGGGGGACCTTGGGTTCTTGGCCCCTGAATTCAGCTGTGGGCTCCGCCGGGGTAGCCTGTCCAAACGGAGCCAGGCGCCTCCCAGGGTGAGAGCATGGACTCAGATCTGGAACCAATTTTTAGGTGAAAAGGTTTATCTTCCTACTAGAGGCCCCAATGAAACATGAAGCGTCAGCAAAGCAAACCAAGCTGCGCTGCTGAGAAGGGGGGCGGGGCCTCCCATGCTAGCTGTCCAGGGGCAGGAAGCCGCTGCGCATCCTCGGTGCCTGGGAGGCCCCATTTCCCGCCGTCCTTCAGCGCTGTCTTTCCCAGCGCTCCCTAGTATTCTGGGGCAGAGTGATTTCATTTGGCTTTTATCACGGAGGTTACAGCAGAGCCCCAGCCTAGCAGCAGCATCAAGGGTTCGAGGGCACATTCAGTTTTAAAGTAGCATCCTTTGTCTACAAACACCTAGGCCCCGTGAAGACCCAAATCCTCTGGTGACAGGACTTGTCCCTCCACCTCGAGGACTCGGTAGGTTGTCTTCCCCAGACAAGCCAATGGCTGGGAATTGTCGCTGGTCCCCCATCGGGACCTTTGGCGTGTCCAGGCCCAGGGCCACTGCGCTTCTAGCAAAGCAGGTTCTGCTCTGGGGACTCAGGCTACCTTTCCCTGTCACCTGCATCCCCTCTCCCTCACCTGCCCATCAGACTGCCGCCCCCACTGCTCAGCTGCTGGCGCCAGCCCAGGCTCCCGGCTTGGAGGTGAATTTGACAAGCTGCACTTAACTTATATTGAAATTGCTTCAAACTAAGGCATCCCAAATCTGCGTGTCAGCACAAGTAGGAGGTGCAGTAAGCTTCGTCTTGACAGCAGAGCTGGTGTGGCTTTGGAGTGAGTGGCATCTGCCAGTTGGCTCGTGACAGGCGTGTCCCGTGCACTCTGGGACCAGCTGGGGTGTGCCTGTCAGCAGCGCGGTCTGTGTCCATCAGGCATCACAGGATTCGGCTCCCCCTTCTGCAGACAGAGCTTGCTGTGTGCAGCCAGGGCTCCGTCATTTATGGGAATAGGGGACAGGTACACGACACATCGCTGAAGTCAGCCCGTCATCAAAAAGTAAGATGCTCTTGGGAAATTAGTCCCATCCCTGGCCCTGCGTCAGCTAAGTGAGGTGGGGGGCAGGGTCCCGTCCCTTTGGAAGGAACCTGGGTGAGCCTTGGATGAGCGGAGTGGCAGTGAATCCTTAAGAACCGGTACCTGTTTGCCTCCTGAAGTGATTCCATGAGAGTGCCCTCGAGCCTGGTCTCCACTCCGTTCCTTTGGAGGGAACTTGAGTCTGCGTGGAACCCCATTGAAAAGCAGCTAGTGCCCTTCCGGGGGGCGGGCGCGGGGCGGGGGGCTGGGTGCGAGTGCATGAAGCTGTTCGCTCGCTGGAGAGCCTGAAGCCTGGGTCCCGGAGCTGGAGGACGATGCCCGGCGCCCACTTGCTGCCTTGGGCCCGTTTGCCCGGCCAGAGTGGAAGGTGCCCGGCATCCACCAGCCTTTGAGGGGCCTCCACGGGACTGGCTCCTCTCACTCACTCTCTGCAGCCGGCCCCTGCGGCCACCCCTCACATGGAACCTGTTGCTGGCTCCAGCAGCTTCACCCTGAAATCGACAATATATGCGCATGCTGGGTAACGTTCCTTTTTTTCCTTTGTCTTTAAAAAAAGCTTTTTTTAAATTACAAAATATAACACTTTAACAGAGTAAAAGCATCAACAAGGATAATCTGTACATCTCCTTCCCCATCTCTAGATAACACAGTTAATATTTCCATGTATCTCTGTTGAGTCTTATTTTATCTCCGTTGAGTCTTTTTTATCTCCATTGAGCCTTCTTTATGTCCATTTTTATGACATGGAAGCATAGCGACACTTCCCAGTTCGGATCTTCTGCGATTTTCCTAGATATTAAACACGTTTCTAAACCCGCGCCAAGCACACGGGATTCCTTTGTGTGGGCGAGTCATTGATTCAACGAATGTCATGCATCAAGTAAGTAATCTCTTTTTCAGTTTTATAAAGTGTATCTTCTATTCCTTCTTGAGATAAATTCCTAGAAATTAAATTACTGGGGCAAAACGTTACCATCTAGAACTCTTGGTTCATGGAAATGTAAAGGATAAAATGTGAGTGAAGTAAGCACTTGACCCGCCCACTATATAAATTTTCACTATTGTTACAGAAATTACAACTTACTACTTTTTTCCCCCCTGCACCATGTCCAGAAACGGTCTCACCATAAAGCAGAGTGAAAGAAGTAGGCTTGGAATCAAGAGGCGGACACAGCAGTTGTATTTGTTTGGGTGGGCTTTTACCTGACCAAAATTTTTTTTTTTTTGGTAAGTAAAAGTCTTTTCCAGCTTTTTTCCTCATACCGTCTTCACAGACCACAAGATTTACTTCAAGGTCTACTGTTCAGTGGTTGTTCATATATTCACAGTTTTCCAAACATCACCGTTGTCTAATTGCGGGACATCTCCATCACCCTCAAAATAAGCCTGTACCCATTGGCAGTTGCTCCCTATTCCCTGCCCTGACCTACCCCTGACAGCCACTAACCTACTTCTGATCTCTGAGGACCTGTCTCTTCGGGACATTTCTAATGAATGGAATCATACACTGTATGGTCCTTTGTGACTGGCTTCTCTCACTCAGCATATTGTTTATAAGGTTCATCCACACCATAGTATGAATTAGTAGCCTTTTCATTCCTACTTACTGCCCAATAGCCTTCCATTTATGGATATATACCACATTTGTTTACCCATTCATCAGTTAACACCCATTGGAGTTTCTTCCCCTTTTTGGCTCTTATAAAATAACAGTGCTGTGAACATTCAAGTACAAGTTTCTGCATGGATGTATGTTTTCAGTCCTCTTGAGCGCCTTTATTGCTGGGTTATGTGGTAACTGTGTTAAGTCTTTTGAGGGACTGCCATACTGTTTTCCAAAGTGACCGAGAAATGTTTGGTTCTCCTTTTCTGTTTTATTGCAACTTTGTGTGGCTGTGTGGTTTGTTTGGTTATTGTTTATTTGTGTTGCATTTTCCTGGCAATAGCAGATGACAGGATGGATGGAGGCAGAGAGGGGTAGCTCCATTGCTCCCTCTTCTGTTGATAGAGTGAAGTGCAGTTTCTTTAATAAATTACACCTTTTCCTTCTGCCACGTTATTAGTATGGAGTAAATCTGGCTTCATCCGGGCCCCTATTTTTAGCTATTTCTCCTTGCCCTGTCTCATAGGCATGGGCAATGGGTGGTTTTGCTCATCTGTACAGTTTTCAGGGGAATGGGCAGAGAGTCTAATTTCAACAGCTGCCAAATGCATGTTTTTTGATAGTTGAAAATACCGTGGGATAGAGCAAGTAGGGTTCTACGTGCCTAGGACATAGATATGGGTTGGATTTTGTGCCTCAAAAACATAACATTGAAATCCTAGACGCGAGGACCTGTGGATGTGACTTTATTTGGAAATAGGGTCTTTATAGAGGTAATCATGTTAAGGTGAGCTCATACATAATCCATCATGACTGGTGGCCTCATAAGAAGAGGAGACAGACGCTTAGGGACAACTCCGGGTGACAGTGGTGGCAGAGAGTGGGGTGACACGTCTACAAGCCAAGCAGCATTAGGGATGGCCAGGAGCCCCTAGGA